CACTTTGAAGCATGTTATTCAGAGAAATTCAATTTTGGAACAGTATGAAATAGCTATGAACGCTTTCAATCGATATCAATTCCCTTTTGCCCATATCCTTATGTCTCGATTCAAACTATCCATGGACTTGATGGAAAAAGATATTCAAAAATATGCACGAGCAGCGTTTGATCACATTAATTACTTGAGAGAGAAAATCTCTGTCCAAAGTATATCAATGGGAATGAATGACAATATGATAATTCAGGGCATTGAATTCAATAGTAATAAAGAGTCGAGTTTTATTGAACCTTTCTTCACATGGAAAAAAAATAACAACATTAAGAAACTATTGAAAGGTGAAGAAATAGAGTTGAAAGCTAGCATTGAAGAAGGTCCTGATCTAAGTGCTATAAAATTCAATGAAATTGGTATTTATCTGAAAAATACGGACCGAAGCAAACAAAAACAATTGGATGATACACTTCAAAATTTCGGTATATCTATGACTATGGTAGGAAAAACTTATTACAAATGTATCGATAAAATTTATAGTTTTGCCGGAGATGACAACATTGTTATCAACTATTCTTTCAAACGTAATCCAAACGGACAACCTCTAATGATGAACAAAGTGTACCAGAAAATAAAACAAATGGATTATATTTTGAGCCCATACACCACATGGAAGATAAAACTTATAGGCAGTGTGGAGAATTTTGAAAAGTTGAAAGAATTTGAGAAAATCGATTTAGATTTAGAACTTTCAGGCCGAGGACAATGTATCCAACACGAATCACTTACACCCGAAATTTGCGACAGAGAATTCCATTTTAGTTTGAAAAATATATCCCCAATATGAATCAACTAGAAATTAATCAACTACTTAAAAGAAATTGGCTAGGCTTTATTTATGCCCATTTATATTTTCAACTGTAAAAGCTCAAAAATATTATAACAATTTTTAATAAAAACAATGGAAATCTTTCATCTTGACTTATCGTAATTAATGCTATATGATTTTTAACTCATAAAATTGGCTAAAAAAAAGTTATCCATCATATGACCACGATTGGATTAGTCATTCAAAATACCTAATTGATATAATTCCTAAATCACATTTGCTTTTGAATTTACTTCATTCGATCAACAATTTATCGGTCCACTGAGTTTTCAAACCTTGCTCAGTTTGAAATAGTAGGCATTTGAATATTTTGAATGGTTGCTATGTACATGGTAGAAATTGCTTTCATTTATAAATTAACTTCGAATCGACACATAGATTCTCTGTCTATTCTATATTCGGCATTGCTTATGCTATTGCAAGTTCCCGCAGCTCCTCAGCTATTTTGAAATCACGTGTAATCAGCCACATAACTCCAGGACAAGGCGTTTATAAATTCATGGTGTCTGTACCAGAGCGGTCAACGAGCGCTCGTTCGTTCGTTCGTATGCGAACATGTTCGTTTGTTCGTTCGTTCGTTCGTAGAATCTACGAACATGTTCGTTCGTTCGTTCGTTCGTTCGTTCGTAGAATCTACGAACATGTTCGTTTGTTCGTTCGTTCGTTCGTAGGTAAAATTTCTTTTTTTTTTTCAAACATAAAATTTTCTTATTTCTTAAAAAAATATAGGAATGATCCTATGTACTCAATAATACTGTAAGCACTGTAATACTGTAATTTTCAAGTTGTGAACATTATCTTCGCACAAAAAATTGAACGAATATTTTTTTGAGTTTCCACTTGCACAATTGAATGCATAAAACTAATTAAAAACATCTTCACTCAACAAAAAACATCGCTGAAAATCTTACTTTCACTCATTGTGGTTTGTGTGTCCGCTGGCGAGAATAGAATGATATGATAATTAGCTGGACATGAACGTGGAAGTTGTAAAATGATGAAGGTAATGCATACAGAGAGAGAGAGAGTGAGAGAGATAAAAATGACATAGACAGCAAAGTTCATCTCTTTTTGTCATTTATGGTGTGCAATTCAGAGAGACTTGTTGCAGTGATGATTTAAATCACATGGACGTTCAAACAGTGTGTGTTTTACGCACTGTGTTAAATCGCCACGTGCAAAACAGTTATACGTTTAGACAATGTTTTGTTCTGTGATCGTACAACACACACAGTTCGAGCGACAACGTGCTTCATGATATCACAGCAACAAGACGAATCTGAAATGTGCACACCATACTTGGCAAAAAGAGATGAACACTGTCTTTGTCACTTTTTTCTATCTCTCTCTCTCCGTATGCATCACTTTCTTCGTTTCACAACATTTGAAACCAGCATTATTATTGCTTATTGCATTATTATGCATCCAATTGTGCAAGTGGAAACTCAAAAAAATATTCGTTCAATTTTTTGTGCGAAAATAATGTTCACAACTTGAAAATTACAGTATTACAGTGCTTACAGTATTATTGAGTACATAGGATTATTCCTATATTTTTTTAAGAAATAAGAAAATTTTATGTTTGAAAAAAAAAATGAAATTTTACCTACGAACGAACGAACAAACGAACATGTTCGCAGATTCTACGAACGAACGAACGAACGAACGAACATGTTCGTAGATTCTACGAACGAACGAACGAACGAACGAACATGTTCGTAGATTCTACGAACGAACGAACAAACGAACATGTTCGCATACGAACGAACGAACGAGCGCTCGTTGACCGCTCTGGTCTGTGCAGAACTATAAAAGACATATCTGCGGAGGAGCTATAATAAACAACCGAAACGTTCTAACCGCTGCAACGTGTATTAACAACATCAAACAGGGGGATATTTCCATCTTCGCTGGAAATGATAATCTGGATGGAAAAGGAGAACGATTCAAAGTCGAAAAGATTTTTAAAAAAAATGCATCTGACCCGGAATTCATAAAAGACAATATCGCTATTTTGCGTACCTCGAATACAATCGAAACAACAGCCTATATTGGATACATTTCTCTCCCAGAAAATAATGACGCTATACAAGGAGGAACTGGCGCTCGTATATGTGGATGGGGAAAGTCTTCGGTGAGTACTTTCTATGTTATATTTGATTTATTTTTTTCCTACCTATTTATATTACAATGGTTACTAAGCTTGTTTTTTGTTATAATAAGAAAAGCTTGCTTTGGCTATCTGGCAGTATTTTTCTATATTTACATATTTACAGATAAAGGGTAAACCGATATCTAACACGATGCATTGTGCTGATGGTAGAGTTATAAACGTAGCAGAGTATCAATATGTTCTACCGAACGTTGATGATTCAAACCTTTGTGTGAAAACTATCGACTCGAATCAAGGCCCTTGTGAACTTGATGCAGGTATGTTTCAATTATTTAAAATTTCCCTTCCTTATGTTATACATATATAAATATTTCTCGTAAGGTGTTCCAATGTTCAATACACTTAACGAAACACTAATCGGGATAGCGACACCAATTTTATCGGTAAAAATGATTCAATAGTACTTTATTTCGGCTCAATACATATAATATTTCATTTCATTTCAGTGTGAAAAAGATGAGTTGGACGTATACACCTACGTGCCTGCGCATAAAGAATGGATAGAGGAGAACGCCACTGCTGGAACATTCTTTGTTTCAAATCATCAGATTTTGTGGCTATTGATTTCGTTCTATTACTTATTTGAGTTATTATTGCTGTAATTTTTTCAGTAATTTCACAAATATGGGTCAATAAAGCAAACAATTGAAATATTACATGTCATTAAATCAATAATGCATTTTTTTGATCTTCAATCTGAAAAAATTCTATTCACTTTTTTATATTTATAGACTGGAGGAGATCCAATATCTGATACTATGCATTGTACTGACAGTTTTACGTTAAACGTGACAGTGTGCCAAAAGCATCTACCTAACGTTGATACTTCAAATCTTTGTGCGAAGACTTTCAAATCGGAAGTAGGCCCTTGTGAACTTGATGCAGGTATGCTTCAAATGAATAACAATTCGTTTAACATATTGTATAGTCACACATTAAAATGTATTCGCTAGGAGGGCCACTGTCTATTACACATAACCGAACACTCGTCGGGATAGCAACTCCATCTCTATCGGTAATTATATTTGAATTCTTTTTTCGGATTTTCACTAATAATATTCCATTACAGTGTGAAAAAGACGAGATAGATGTATACACGCGTGTGTTTGCGTATAAAGAGTGGATCGAAGAGAATGCTGGAACAACTTTTGCTTTAAATCATCAGATTTTCTGCCTGTTGGTTTTCATTATCTTATTTATTTAAATTACGATTGCTGTTATTCTTGTGCAATTTCAAAGCAATGATCCAATATTTCAACAAATAAAATATTACCTATTATTGATTAAAAATAACGTATTTTCTGATGTTCATAACGAGAGCTTGAAAAATCATACACTAAAACAATAGACCTTGACATATCGTGCTTATGTTGTTTATTCATATTCTATCTTTCATGAGCTACATAATCATCGAATCATAGCCAATTTTTTGATTTTCAATAATACAGGTAATGCACCAAATGTGGTTTAGATTTTAATTCAATTCAACTCGTTTCAATCGATTTGTTATCTGAATTCAAATTCAGTTGATAGCTTGGCAGAGAAAAATCAATTTAAAAACAAATAATAGATGAAAGTCTCCGAAATGAATAACTCGAGGAAAACAAAGAAAAATAATTAAAAATTGAATTACTTTCAATCAAAATGTAAATGAAATGGAATTTTTCATGGAAAATCTAGGTTCGATTTCGAAATTTAATGAACACGGTCGAATTTAAGTTCAAAATTAATGTTCCTCATGCTTCATATATTGCACATTCTTATTTATGTTTATCGCGAATCGAATCACTCAATTACATTTCACCAAATTCTGCTGCAGAAATTCTACATTTGAATCATAACACAAATTCGTTAATTTTGGACTTCATTCGATTCATTTTTTTTTATTCAAAAGTGTGTATGATTTCTCAATATTTACTTAAATTGCGTTCTTGTGAAGTTTTCACGCGTAATTGATAAACAAAACCAATATTTTGAATAGTTATCAACAGCAAAATGGTATTTCAAACACCGCACTTCTTATCAATTGTACGGAAAATATTCAAAAACTAGGTTGATTGAGTTTTTCAATTATTTTATTAAATTAACAGCCGAAATGAAAGTAATTTGTCACGAAAATCTTTCTTTCCCCCCCAAATTAGTAATTTAAATAGAATTATTTAGTTCGATGCAATAAATTACATCATCGAATAATGACAAAAAAAACTAATCGAAAAATTCAATTTTATCTCAATACAATAAACTAATTCAAATTTCAATTACTGGATCATCTCTCAAAAATAATGATTTCATCTTATCTCCTCCCGTCACGTAGGTGCACCTGGTTCATTGGGAAAAGGTGGTATCGGTGGGATCGGATCTAAGGCTGGGCATAATATGATTTTGGAGTATCGACAAACAATGTCCGAAGAAATGCCGACTGTTGGTGAATACTTGGATCCGAAAATCCCTTTCTGGGAACAATTGAATGATGGAAAAGTGGGAATTGATGGTCAAGATGGTTTGAATCGAGAAGGCATTAAACAGCCAGAAAATCTGCAAATTGTTGGCCCAACACGAACGATAAGCAGGTACAAATATTATGTACGAGAGAATTTGGCGAATAATATTCGTGTAAATGGTTTGCAAAAGTTTTTGGACGAATTGGATGAAGATGAAATCATTTCATCACTGCAAGATACCATGGGATTGGTTGAAGAGTTACACGATGTGGAAAGAAATTATTATCAGTTGCGAAATCAAATTTCCTTTGTTCCGTTTGTTAAGCCGCTTCTCTCACGCATTAGTGACCATATGAGAAATGTTGAATCGGATGACGAGCATAATATCGCAACATATTTGCACACCGCTGCTCAGAGCAAACTGTCTAGCATACGAAGCAATGTGAATCATGTTTTGATTATCGGTTTGTCGGACTATGTGGATGCTTTGGGTCAGAATATCGAAGAGTTGCGTGACAGTGAGAACGATGTGAACATCGTTCAGTATCATGCTGAATATAAGCAATCAATGGATTCCAAAATTGATTTCGTCCATGCATTTATCAACGATGTATTTTTACCCGAAGTAGAAAATGTGATCAAAGAAATTGAACAGCAGATATTTACATTGATAAATGCGGTAACCAATCGAGAAGATGCCACCAGGGGTGACTCGAACGAAGAAAATAAACGAAAATTAGCACATTTGTCACAATTGAATCGAATGTTGGAGCCGGTTAAGATGACCAATTCAGTGTTGGGCTTTCTTATCAAATTGGCCCGAATTATGGCAGACACTGTGTCAGATACGGATATAATTGCGAAAATTTTTGTACACGATCCACATTATCATGAAGAAGAACGATTGATTTCAATCCCTCTAAATATTGACTGACATCTCGACGAACTGAAGGACAAATTGAAGATTCGATACAGGTTCTTTGCAGAAGAATTCAGTGATATTGGCGAAGAGCTGGATGCGTACAAGGGCGAAGATGTGGATATGGTAGAGATAAAAAATAAAACTATTGAAACCAATGACACAGTAAATAATTCATTGTTGGATACATCTCTGGTAGATCCCGCAACGCTTGAATCCATTCGACAGGAACTGCTGGATTTTGTTGTGAAAAAACAGCCAAATTTAAAGGATGAAAAAGCATTTGATATGTCACGAGTGTTAAATCTCGTTGGTTTAACCGACACAACTATCGATCTTTACGAACTAATACGTGACGATCCAGAACAAGTACAGAAATTGATTGAGTCCCTCGAAACGAAACAGGCCGATTTGGAAACGTGGAAGGAAATCGAGCGAAAAGTGTATGATACGTTGGTATCCGAACTTCTCGATGTTGATAACATTGTGGCAATTTTAAAGCAGAGTCTGGAGGAAAAGTGGGAAATTGATCTTGATATCGGCAAATGGAATATCCAAAGTGGATTATTAGAAGTCAAAGCGTTATTCCGTAAACAGAAATCAATCGTCGACAGAAATAATTGTACAGCGAAGCATTGAAAGAGTAATTGAAGGGTTGTCGGTGATTGTTGATGTTTATGATCGCATCGAATCATATTCAGTCAATTCCAAACTGGATGCAGTCTTGGGTAAAGTAATTACCAACTTAACCATCGGCACAGAATCGGCAGATGTCAATGATACAATTACAATGTTGAAACAAATGATACAATCCAATCTGATACTCGAGCAATATGAAATGGCGATGCAATCAATTTCCATTTGGTGGTATTCTGATGAAAACATTCGCACTACCCACGGATCTGTTATACAATGACACCGATACAATTGCAGAAAAAGCTGGCAAACAAGTTAATGATTTGAACGATCAGATTACTAGCTTACAAATTTCCATTGGAAAATATGATCGGGAAATTTTCCGAAATGTTGAATTCAGTAGCAGTAGCACCAGTGCTGCAAGTCCCTTTTATGTGTGGAAAAACAATGAAATCAAAGCTGAACTGGTGGAATTGTTGCAGGGCGACGAGATTACAATTTTGGCGGACATTACGAAAAGATTCAAACAAAACGCGGTCAAATTCAATGAAATTGGCATTCATTTGAAAGTAGGAAATGATACCGTACAAAGTGAATTGGCTGAGCTTGAGAATATTGGGGTGTCAATGATAATGTTGGGACACAGTTACTATCGTTGCGGTACACGATTCTATTTCATCTCTGTTGATCACAATATTGTCATAGATTATTCCATAAAAAAGGACTCAAATGGAAAAACATTGATATCAAATGAAATTTATCAACAGATTGGCTCGTCGAATTACTTCCTCAGCCCATACGCAACATGGCGCATCAAATTGACCAACGATACGACTGATTTTGAAAAATTGAAACGATTTCAACGTAAGATCATTGACTTGGACTTTATTGGTTCTGGTCAATATTCTAGAGATGGCAAATCATTTTCCCATGAAATATGTAACGATCAATTGGACAATTTCTATCATTATGATAATACAATTGCCAGTTTAGATAGCATTGAAGAGCTTAGTATTCAAATACAAATTTAATTTAGACGATTTCGTTTATATTCAACAAAAATATAAGATAAAATTCCCTGTGGGTGCGTAAATTATTCTGAAAGTATTTTAATGTGATCCCATTGAAATTGTACTCAAGAACAAACCACTGAACAATATCTTTTTTGAAGAAAATATTCCTTGAAATTCATTTATTTCAAAAAAAAATGTAATAAATAATCTAATTTAAATACATTTTTGAATTAAAAAATATTCTAAATTAATTTGTTTTTCATTTGGACATTGATAGAGTGAAAAAAAAGAAGAGAAGAAGCTGTACTGATAGCTAGAGGTTATTGTTGTTGGAAATTGTTTTATTAACTGAATGTGTGATGTAAATGTTCCCGAATGCATTGCAGCGTCCATTTAATGGAACAAAGCAACAATGGCTTCATCGCTAACTTGCCCTTAAAATTCGAATACTTCAGCTTGTCGTGATATGTCGAATAGAATAAGAACCAACTGATACAATTGTCTTTTTCTACTGAATTCACGAACGATCAAACGAATAAGAGAAAAAGAGCAACAACAAAAATATTCATTTTTCTTCGTAAAAAACGATTTAAATGCAAAATCCAACATAGTTAACTATTTCTTTATTAAATTTTCTTGTTCCCATTTTTGTTTTGTTTGTGTTTTCGATTCAATTATTCTAAATGTTACTGTACAAAATGTTCACATTGTTCGACTTGCGAAAAATACTAAATATTGTTTGTTTCGAATTAAAGAAGATGAGAGAAATGTGTGGAATTCATTAGACAGTTATAAGCATTGCTTTCTTTAATATTATCACATAGTTTTTTTTCGTTCTTTCTTTCTTTGTTCTACAGTTTTATCCAAATAATTCATTGTCTAAATTCATCTTAGCAAATAACTCAATGTTTCAATCGTTGTTTGTTTGTTTGTTTGTTTAAAAAATAATAATAGTGAAGAATGAGTATTTTGCAATCAAATTTTCATCACAGTAATATTCACTTGCGAAGGATGTGCTTTTCGTCAAGGCTATCTGAAGCTAATACCATATTTTTTCGTAACTTGCGGCGAATGAATGGATGCGACTGACAACAACAGTGGCACATCGTTGGCCGATAAATTGAGTGCCGTTGTTACGGTATTGAGTGAACAAAATTCGGTGGCTAATAGAAATGCGGCCAATGTTTCCGATTGCAGATAGATTTCTTTGAGTTTCGATTCCAAAAATGACATGCACTGATAGGCTGATGTACCGGCTAGCCACATCGCATGCACCGTTTCCAGCATTGTTGACACAAGCTGCGACATACCAATCTGTCCGCTTAAACCGTTCGATGACAGAGCATACGTTTGTGATGATAACAATTTTACATCCCTGAAAAAGATCAAAAAAACAATTAGATTAAATTCGTTGCATAGACAAAGTCTCATCAATTTTGTGAGTAAATGCGCATTACCATTTGTCAATATTTGCTATTATGGCAACATTCTCTGTGGGTATTTGTTCAAATGTTGCACAATGTGATGCGAGCGTCAGATTCTGTTTCAAAATTGGCTCCCATTTGTGTGGCGGTGACGTGATGCCCTATGAATAACGGGAAAGGTAAACATTGAATGTCGCACAGAGGCACAGATTATTTAAATCACAGAAGGAGCACCAAACTCACCTGCAACACCATATCCGAAATGAAGTGATCGGTAATTCCAACGAACAGCGATGGAACATAACCGGGCCGTATTCGAAATTGATTTTTACTGTCATTTATAATTTCTGTCTTGGGAATTGGTAATGTGATTAGCTCAAGTGCCTTGGAATTGGTTGGTTTCTTTGCAGTTTCGCCATTTTCAATTTTGTTGTCATTTTTACTCTTCTTATCTTCGGCATCACTTAATGGTTCCACTCGTATCGAATCGACTTGAATCGACGCTGTCGCTTCCAGTTGCAATTCCGAATCATTCGCTGTGCTGTCATGTTCGATGACAGTGTCTAACTGGTTTACGGTCGGTTTGGTGGCTGGCACAGGTACAACAGGGTAAACGGCATCATCGTTGGAAAATTCCAATTCAGTAGCGTTGGATGGAGTTTGAAGGATGCGGAATGTATTGGCACAGCATTCACATTGTTCCTCCTCTTCTTGTTCGTCATGCTCTTGATTTTCTTCAGGTGCAAACATCGGCAGGAGACTGGTCGAACTGGCACCATAATTGAATGTATTTTCTTGTTCCAATTTTAGACCTTTTTCAAGAAAATCATAGCTGGTAATGTCCAAGTTTTTATTCTTCATGTAATTGGTGACGATCTGGGGATATTGCTCAAAGTTGAACTTAACTCCGGAATGTTTTTTATGTGTACAGTGCTTTTTCTTCTTCTCTGGTTTGGTGCCATTGATTTTTGGTGTTGTGTTAAGTGTGGTTGCCATGTCGTTCGAACTATGCTCACCATTTGTACGAGTAATTGCAGATTTTGAGCTGGATTCCGACTGTTCATCCACCGGTCGAACGGACGTCGATGAAGGCGCTGCCGAGTCAGAAGAATGGCTTTCATTCTTCTCGGCGCTTGGAGTTGGTGATGGTGATAGTGTTGGTGTTGGTGGCGGTGTCTTAAGACCGGACAACACTTCATTGTCACCCAATACGAAAACCACACTACCGGCCGGCTTCAAGGTTTGTTGATTACTCTTGAAATTCGTATTCAAATTTATCTCATGCACCAGCGAAGTGAGCGAATCAATTTTATTGTTGTTCTCCACTTTCAGATTGGAAATAAAATCATTTGTTCCGTTGCGTTTGATTTCGCGAAATGTTTTTGATCGTCGCAGATTGTTTGTAGTGTTTGGCTTTGTTTTGAGACTATGCGAACGTTTCAGCTCAATGTTTTTGATGTGTGCATTGTCGGTTTCGTCGACACCAAATGATTTCCACTTATCAATACTGATGCCCTCCTTGACAGTGTCTATGCTCCAAAGCAAACGCCGTGACTTATTTCCATTGTGATCATCATTTTTCGTCATCGACGTCGTTGTCTTGATAACCGCATGTTTACTTTGTTGCGTATTTTCGACTTCATTTGTTGTCATTTCGATTTTCTTCAATATAAAATCAATTGCTTCGGATGCGGTTTCATATTCGAAGCGATCGTTGTTTGGGCTCGTTACCATCAATTTAATTGTGCTATTTGTCGAGCAATTATTGACATGTCTCCGTTTCGGCTCACTCTCAGTATCGATTGTGTGATTGTTATATGCTATTTCGGGTTGTGCCAATATGAAGTTTGACGTATCGATTTGGAATTCATATGAAGTGTCATTTTTCGGTATGGGAATGGCTGAATCGTCATGGCACACAGTCGCTATATCTTTCAAACAGGTTTTGCTGCGTGACAGACCTTTTACCGGCATTTCCGGGTGCATCACCGATCGACTCATATTCGGTACGGACACCTTTTTTCGTCGACCTTTGCTACTGATCATTTCTTCGATTTCCGTTTTGTCGAGCTCTTTTGTACTTTTTACACGCTGAATTTCACCGCATCTTACAAAATATGTCAGCACACTGAGAACTTTATTTATGGTGACGGTGTGTGCACCGCATACAATTGTTTTCGCCAATCTGGATGGATTCCCAATCGAACCGTACAAATCACCGAGCTGCGCCCACAGCACATTGTACGGATGGAATTTTGATATTTCAGACATTTTCGCTTGATTTTGATGTATCGTTATCACTTGGTCATTGCTCGCTGCACTGTTTATGATCGGTGCCACTGTTGCCACCCATCCCAGGTGATTCGTCAGAATTGCCGTGAGCAATGTGCTGACAAAACTAAAATGAAGAGAGACAATGTGAAATTAGCTTTAGTTTTAATGAAAGGTAAACAGAAAATCGCATTCAGAATACATACAAATTTGTATCTTTGGTATCGGCGCTGTTGAGGAGCCAACATAGCTCGGTCATGAAATGTTTGGCCAAATTTTGCGGTCGATCAGTGTATCCGTTGCTTAACGAAAACCATACAGGCTCATTTATCCTCGGTGCTGTGAACAAATCGGTTATCCACGATGACGTAGCGAACCATGCATGCAGCATTAGCTAAAAATCGCAAGGATCGTTGAATATAAAACATATCGGTTAAATCAAGCATCAACGATCAATTCATTGACCAAGTCATTTTAAATACCTGATGGAATTTTTTCCGATTCATATATGCGGTTTCGGCAGCCGCCCGAAGCCTACAAAGCATGGATTCGAGCAATGCGATGTGTTCGGAGCAAAACAGTTGCATTTCCTCTTCGGCCGATTCACTGAAGCGAATGCAAACAGCAAGACCGATTTTCGACCGTCGTTGAGCCGTCTTCGATCTCGGTGTATAACTGGAAAAGTGTATGTGCGGTGGTTTTAGACTCTCTTTGCCGCCATTTTTCCGTCGTCGAACCATTTCCGGATTGCTTCTGCTTTCACATTGATCACTGTGCCGTCGTACCATCGACCCGGACACACTGTTTATTGAACGATCGCATTTACTTTCATCAAAGTAACCGATAAAATCATTGCCCGACAAATTATTTTCAAACGACGTTGACATATTGCGTAAAATGCGTCGCTGTAGGCATCCATCACTGCTGCGGCCATTCATTGCCGCATCCACTATTATCGCTGAATCTACACTAAGTTTGCGTGAACTAACAATGCTTGGATCGGTGCTAAACATCGAAACCACACTACTTCGATCTGAACGAAAACCGTACGATGAACCAGACATAGTGGTCCACATATCAGTTCCAGAATAACCTGAATCACAGCCACTGAATGCATAACTACTATGGTCTAATGACGATGGAACGTCCAATGGAATCGTTGCGCTAGCTTTGCTTTTTTCATCCAATTCGGCTAGTTTGTCGGTCATGCACAGCGACAACGACAACGAAAATGAATTCACCGAATTGTCATTAGATTGATTGATCGACGCATCACGATTTGTGCTATCACTTCTTTTCATATCATTTCCTGATATCCGACAAAAGCTATTCTTCGGATAAATCGGCGACAGAAATACCTGTGAACACATAATTCGCGTTGGTTCTCGAAGCCAATGTACCTGATCAAAAAATGAATTTATTAATGAATAACGTTTGGAAATGTAGAAAAAAAATGGGTTAATTCTGTCCTACCTTCAACGATGTGCCTTTGAATGACATGGCAACCGATCCAAAGACCATTTCACCGATGTTGCTGCTTTCGCATGATGTTTGATTGTATGTGTATCCGTAACCGTTACAAATTTCGATAAACGCTTCCGACGAATTCGCACCATCTTTGTCATTATTGTCATTCGAATTTGGCAGTTTTCCATTTTGACTGTTTTCTGTATTTGATTGATTCGTTTCGGCTATACTAACTTTTTGCACAGCACTCGAATCGAATAAAAGACGTCGACCGGTCCAGTCGCACTCTCGGAACAGCAGTACTCTAACTTGTTCACCCGAAAACGGGAATATACTACAAATAAACAAGGAAACGAAAGAAATTATTCCGGTGAATTTGTGGTTGCGTGTTTGAAATTTACATAATCCTTTGAATCTAAGGCAATAGTCCACTATTTCCCCTTACATAACCAACTAAAGCAAGTCAATTTGATCGAATGACGTCAAAGAACAATGTTAATTCACAAACAAAAACACAAGAAATGTGTTAGAACTTCCAAATAAATAATTCAAAGTGAAATATTTTTGTCAGCCCGAAACAAAACACTCGAGACAGAGAAAAAGAAACGAAATTCAAAATAGATATTTGTTAACAATGGCGTAGGCTGTTCTATTGTATGCTTGATATTTCATTAAGAAGAAACACACACAACCATTTTTTGTTTCTGTTTAGAAATTGAGATGAAATAATGACATTCATAAATTCTTCCTCTTCTTCTTCCCCCCTCTAAGTAAAGTGTTAATGAAATCGTAGAAACCACGTGAAAACTCATGTCACGTGAAAGTTTTGCGAAATTCATATTTTTCTCACCGTCCCTCTCTACCGCTACGGATAGAGATCCGTCTCTTTTTCGCTATTTATTTAAATTATAGCATCCTCGATAGACAACGAACGGGAGACAAAAAGAAATCTTCAAATTGAATTTGTATTGTGTGAATTAACAGTACGGCCTAAATGGTATTTTGCCGATGAATTCATTTGATTACCACTTTCAAGTAAAATGCACCGATTTATACATCGAAATCACTTGAGCGATGGGATGAATTGAGCCGACAAAATCCCATTCAGCCGGAACGGATCGTATTTACGCAGTTTAGTATGCACAAAAACGGATCGAGAGATCCAAAGTGTGTGTATTGTTGACATGAAAGCGCAAAGAAACCATTTCAAAGTAGAAACAAATGTATAAGCCTGCAAGAAACAATGCTGATAAGCGCATGTTTATTAGCGAAAAAAAATTCTATAGGCCAGCAGCAGTAGCAATAGCAATAGCAGTAGCAGCAGCAGCAGCAGCAGCGGCGGCGGTCTGATGCTTTCGGAGAAGACATTGTTATTATTATTATTGTAATGCTATCGGTCACGCTGGGCTGATATCACCGATCATGTGACATTTAATAGCCCAGAGCTCGTGAGCCGTGTTCATAAGATAAGTAATGGCCATGTTTATTCAAAAAAAAAGAGAGACGGAGAGAGCAAGAGAGGGGGATAGAAAAAAATACAAATGGTTGGAATCTGATGATTGTCTCTCCATTCAAACGAGTTTTCATCGAATCCTGTAATCTAACCGTATTTAGTAAATACTATTTACTAGCATTTGTTTTCATTGTCTATTCATAATGATTAAATACGCATTGTGTGCAAACGCCTGCGTTCAACGTTACAAAAAAATTCACATGAGCTTCTTATCATATACGATAACAGATAATCTAATTGCTTGTAAATTGTACGACCAATTTGGAAAAAAAGGAAACAAAGCGACAACAATTGGATTGATATAGCATCAATACGTTGTTTATGTAAACATATATGCTTTTTTTCATTGAAATTAGCATCGAATGTAATAAAATTTCGATAACCGTTGATATTACACTTAATAAAATATCATTTGGTTTGATATTTGTGATCAGATGTGTGTTTTTTTCTGATTGGTTATTCGCTTGAGCTGATGATGATTAGAGCACAGAATAGGACTAATCAAATGACACATAACGTCGTAGGAAGGTGAAAAGAAACGATTTTTCACTTATTCAAAGAAATCGCGTTTTCTTCCCCGTGAAACCGGTTGGTCCCCAAATACACGAAATAGCATTGAGATGCCGAATGAATCATCGGTTCATCTTTTTCGTTGTTTATTCGAAAATTAGCAGACACTCGAAAACAAAACGTACGCATATTTTAAACATGCTAAAATTAAATGTGCCACCAATTTTTTGTTGTTGTTGTTGTTCTGGTGATTTTTTTTTTCGGTGCGAGCGCAGAGCGATCACATGCTTCAAAACATCAAAAGTATCTCTCTCTCTCTCTTTCTCTCTCTCTCTCTCTCTCTCTCTCTCTCTCTTGATAGTGGCCAGATTGAGCCATGTTTTTGACGTAGTCTTCATAGTTATTGGCGAAAAATCTGTATATATTTCACACGTTTCGTTCAATCATTTTGTGCTGTGCTGGCAACTGAACCCATTGAATTGAGACGTGCAGCAGAAGAACAATTTATCTGAAATATAACTAAACGATAGGAATAGGCGATCATAATTCATTCATATTTTTATGATATTTGACGATATATTTTGCAATGCGTAACATATTGCTGCTGACTTAGTTTTGCCAACTATTAAATTTGCCTATCAAATTCGGAATGCGATCGGGCAGTGTATAAAAATGCACATCGCAAAAACCAAATTATTTACAATCTGGTGTGCCTTTTTTTCGTCATTCATTCAATGATATTTTGCGCTGATGCTCATGTATTTTACAACAGAATTCGAAGTCATGTGATTTCTGACAGCATACACACATACACATCGTCTTGCTCATAGCGTTTGATGTTGGTCTCTCGCTCTCGTTTCGGTTACACTGCCACCGTGATTGTGTGATGCGGGGATATGCGAATGTATGTAAGTCTTTTTTTTTCTGCATGTGCGATGTTTTGAATTGTTAGTATGCAAATCGAATAAGTGGCTTTCGCATGCATAGCTCAATTTTGAATACAACAACAACACACACACACACACATACGCTGTATTCAAATAAATAAATGCGGAAATCTCATAAAAGACCGCCAATGAGAATTTATCGTATTTTCGTTTGCTCAAAGAAAACAAAATGCACTTTCGATGTTGATTTACAAAATCGATGATCTTACGATTTGTGTATTCATTCCGGTTGTTATTCTACTGCCCAATGCCATAAAGAGAATCTTCTTTTTCTCTCTCGCATAATTCAGTCGATAAATCCATTCACTTAATTATAAAATTTTATTGTTCGAAGCTCACAATTGAGCAATAAAATTTACACCTGCCCGAAAATGGGCGAAACAAGAATTGGAGTCATCATCGAGCAAACGAATTTTGAAATGAGCACAGATGATTAGGCATTAAAAAGGCGATAATTGAACCGTGGAATTGTACATGGCTGTGTAATTGCATAAGACGCAAGTCGTATCAATCGAATTCTTTTGATGGCAACAACCGTGCCGAAATCTTAATGATTTCCAAATAAATCGTAATCATCGTGTCTTCAAATTTCGTTCTGATTTAATGGCATCACTTATTGTGAGCCAATTCTGATTTTCAATGGAGATCGATATTGAATGGAAAAAAGCGCAAGTGTTGTTTGTTTGCTTTTCATCTTTTGCCGCACTTAATTCTGGCGATACTGTATTTGAACAGTAGTTGAAAATGTCGCCCGATAAATGAAATTTCGACCACGAAATTATGGCATAAACCACGATAAACCATTGGCACAACTGTAGCAATTGTAAGTGGTTAAGATTACACAAATGTGTGTGTGTGATTGTTTATTATCGACGGACTATGTGTCTGTGTTTTTTGTTGTTCTTTCTCCATTTGCTTGCTGCTATTCAGATATGTCGCACATATTATTTGCACGAAAAAATTATTCGACTATTTGATTATGAAGTGCTGCAGCATGAATTTTTTTTTCCATTTCGTTTGACAGAAAAGAATATGATTTTCCAAATGAAATTGCAAAATTTAATACTAATTATCCATTATTTCGTTCATTTTTGGTGGTGTTTACCTTTCCTTTGATGCTTGATTTTGTGAAAATGGTTGTCGTTTTGTTGATTCACCATGCGATCCGCTTTTCCGTTTACTTGATTGAAAGAATTTATTAAACAATGCCATTTTATTTCGCCAAATTTCAATAAATAGTTATCGAAACTTTTCCATTCACTTCACTGCACTTGACTCTTTTATTTTCTCTTTCTTTTGATTTCGATTTTTTCTCCTTCTTCTTCTTCTTCTTCTTCTTTCGATTATTTCTTCGTGTTCAGTTCTTTCAATCAAAAATTCACAAGCGTACAATTTAACACAATCATTTTCTGTTTGGCCGTTTTGCTCAAATGAAGTCTTTTGAGTCACTTTAATATCGTAGCAACAGCCATATTATGTGATGAATTCTCTGCGGACGTTTTTATATCGATGAATTTGTGCCACTGCTGGTGCTCAGATGATGGCGACTTTATCACTCCCATACTAATGTAATAAAGTATTGTTAATGATCATACCTCAGAGTATCAACGCAGAAAAAAAATTTATTGTGGAATTTATTGTTTTAATTTAAGTTTGATCGTAAATGTGCATTAAGTGTTAACATTCCAAGAAGCAAATTAATTATTAAAAAAAAATGTTAAAATCCAAATTTCGATTCGTTTGCACACAATTTGTTCAATTTTCTGATTCCTGTGCCACCTTTAATTCCGGTTAAGTTTATTTTTGTTCCATTTTTTTTTTCACTTTCGTTGTGGAAAAACGTTTTTCAAGCAATTCAATAGCGATTGGTACCGGCCATTTGGAAAATGAGTAGAAATGTACGAGCAGAGAGCACAATCGGCGTCTAGCCATCAAATAAATTTTATCAGTAACTGCAACGAGTGTGAAATCGCTTGTATTTTATTTCTCTTTCTCCTCTCTTCTCTATGTCGTTTGTATTCATCGAATATTGTGTATGTGCGTTATTGGCAGTTGACGCGTTTTACAGGAAGAATTAATACACCGAATCGAAACGAATAAACCGTCATACCGTGTGTAAATATGGCTGAAATGCCTGGAATTCCTTTTAATGACGAACATGCATTATTATTATTATTTGCATTGATCGTCGCATGTTTTTGGTGCGTTTCGTTTTTGTTTTTTCTTTTTGTTCTTTTCTTTTGAAAAATTCGCTTTTTGTTTCATTCACCTCGTGGTAGGTAATGGGTAATAAAAAAGTGAATGAATGAAATCGAAGGGGCAAAGACCCATCATAATTTAATGTACACCATCACACGGAGTACCTTTTGAAACAAAACACATACGCACATATGCATTAGTCAATGGGATTTGCAATTCAAATCCATGGTGCATTGCTCATGCATAATAAAACCTTTTTGACTGCAAAAAAGTGCGTTTAAAACGTTTTTTTGTTGTTAATGTACATATTAAAATGATTCGGCGTCACCGCCCCAAATAGATTATTATGTGTATCATAAGCCGACTTTTTTCTATCATACAAACTGATTTGCTTTTTTATCTATCAAGCTTAGAAAATTATAGTGTTCAATTGCTGGTCGCAAAGATACATACATTTTCGAAAGAAAGAACCGAACAAATTGGTACCATATATCACAGTTAAACGATACATAATTTGTACTTGCACTCGAATGGAAACTTTTTGTTTATCAATTTAATGGTATTTTCGAATTTTTATGATCGGCTTCTTTTCGGATTTATGAATGATGAATGGTGTGTGCGTGTGTTTCTTTCTTTTTGCATTTGGGAACAGAAAAGTATGCACCAATAGACACAATCGTTGATATGATTATTGCAGGTCGTGCGCGCCAGCCACACAACAACAAGATATGTAAATTAACAATTTCGCACAGACACACACATATTCACACCAGCGACATAGACACGCTGAGTTTGACTAGTATTCGAAAGTCACGTGTTCGACGATTGAAGCAAAGCAACAAAAAAAACATATGTATATATATATTATATGAGTATTAAGCCACTCATAGAAGATGAAATGAGACGCAACGCGGCCGGTAATCAGTGGCGGTGAATGGGACAGCGTGCACAGAGAACGAAACACTCTAAAGAAAAGAAAAAAGCAAATCAAGTCATATGACTTTATTTCACTATAATGCCGCTTCATACGTACAACAAATATAAATAAAAATGTTTATATACATTTAAGAAAGAAAAAAAAGCGTATGGCAGAAGCACGATACACAAATCTAGGTATACGCAATCGACCATTTCAATATGTAGCTATATTTCACTGTATCGAGATAAATGCTTGTGCTCGGTGTTGTTGTAGTGCTAGTTTTTTTAGGTCGTTCATTGCGCGCATTGATTCTACTCATTCGCTGTTTGTTGTTGCTATTCACGTTTTTTTTCTTCTTCAACTGCTGTTGCGGCTGCCGTTGCTTTTTGGAATTGTCTTTGTGTATCTGTTATGTTATACTGTATTTTCTTGTACATATATACGATAAACTAAATGCAAACAAACTGATTAGAGACCCCATGCGAACATTCGCAACTTTTTTTTTAAACAAATCCAATGGATTTGCTGCAGAATGCGGGAAACATTGTCATGACAGAGGCCAAATTCAAATGCTGATAAATTAAAATAGTTTTGGAAATTTTTGAATCGTTCATTTTTTCGTCTCTCGTGTTCATTGTTCGAGATGAGAGCAATGAGACCCTCAGTTGCCAGTACAAAACAGCTTAGTATGAATAGCGTTCAATTTTGTCGTGTTTCTCTATTTTTTTTATGTGTATTTAAGGATGCATTGAACTCTGCAGTGCAACGAGTGGGCTTAACTCTATGACGCATATATTGCAAAATCATCTAAAGCATTCCATTTAAGCCTAAATCCACTTTCGATCATCGGTGATGCTTTGATGCAGGAGAATTGCATCTGTTTCGATTTTTTCTCGGTTTCTTTCCTCAACAAATGATAAAAAGTTGTTTTGATGGCTATGGCAACACAGCTGAACGAAAGAAGAGATTATTGTAAAAATGAGACATTCGTTGAGCAGAATCGACGCACACCCCTTCAATTCGGCTGTAATGTGTCGTCATTGGGCCATGTTATATGAGCACCGATGAAAACGAGAGGAGAAGAGAAGAGAAGAGAAGTAATGCTGTCGTCAAACAAAATGAAAATCAACACGATGTGATATTTTTAGCATGTTGTATTTTTGAACCATTCATAAAACTAAGTTGCTTTTTTATGGATATCATGTACATTGAGTCTAATGACATCAGGACGCCGCAAAAACAAAACAATCAAGATTTGTACACCCGACAATATCAGTTGGATGTGTCGCATACTCTATCGCCCGATCTCACTCACTCTCGCAATCACTCTCCATCTCATACATTGCAATGGCATCAATTTAAAATATTCCTTTCTGTCGTCAATTGATTACATGCTGGTTGGCTATATTGTTGTCGCCAATTTGCCAAAGCAGCGCAATTTCATTTGACGACAATCATATCACATACGAACTTTCGATCCGATCAAAGTGTGTGTGTGTGTTTCTTCAAGATGGGTTGCCCCTGGTCTTTTCTTTTTTCATTCCTTTTCCACTTAATGCGCGATCCCTATTGATTCGAATTCACAGAATTCGTCATCACACAAATAATATTGATGATGCAAATGACTTCAATTGGCACATAAATGTCTCAAATGATTTGCACTCATTTTGCACTGTTCTTGTTTCGATCATCAAGTAATCTGTGTTTGACGAGGGGGACGACGAAATGACTTGATGACACAGACGCAACACAAATTGTTTGAATAGTTTCTTTTTAAATGGACGAAACCGAAGAAAAAAAGAAACAATCAGCGAAAAAAAAACGAAGATGTGTTACTCTATCTACACAAATGGCCGGATTCAATGGAGAACTCTATTGTTAAATGGCAGAAAAAAGCGATGAATTTTTGTCAATTGAAATCATGACGCACACACGTTCACACACCAGAAGAGAAAAAAGGAAGAAACCAACCCGAAAAAGAGAAGAAAAAACGACGCATTTGAACGTCTGCATTGAAACGATTCGCACATTGGATTTGAGTAAACAAACTGGATCGTTTTGTACTTATTATAATGCACATATAATATTTGAAACATACTTGGACGTACGCATGCTTAGTTATGTCCCGTCATAAAATACGGTATGTGGTTTTGCGCAAGCTCAAGCGACAATATTGCATCGAAAATCACATCAACACATATTAATGAACACAATGGTAATATTTTTGCCGTCATTTTTTCCTCTTGTGTATTCACATTTAACTAGCTATTGTTTTCAACACTAACATTTTTGCCATTTTTTGATCGCATTGCTGCAGCTGCAATGCATCGAAAATATCACTTTAAATACGATTCTGTACACCGATTTTTTTTTCTCTGGTTTTTCTTTTCACTACGTTTTTCTTCAGGTTCTCTCTGTCTCGCTCTCCTCTCAAAAACTCTTGTTGACAATTTTCCACTTTATTGTTTGACTTGGCTGTTGTCGTTGTTGTTGTTGTTGTTGTTGCTTTGGGCGAATTGCAATTCAATCGCAACGCGACACCTTTGGAGTAAATGGTATAAACAAGTGTAGTTGCCAACCAGCAAACACTCAATGAACTAAAAATGAAAACAACTCGCAAGCGAAAAGAAAACACATATTCACCGTGTGAGACAGAGAGCGCAAAAATAATCTCAAAACCGAAACAGATCGTAAAATAGACGGTGATTTTAATTATTGTGTGTTACGGTTGTGTGCGTACGTGCGCGCGCGCGGTAAATATTGTGATAGTTTCAAGTTCGTTTGACTTAAACGAAGCAAGCGTCAATACAAATGAAACGATTGAAACATTTTGGTGTTGCCATCGTTCACTTCACTTGAGTGGAACCATTTGGAGTTGATCTGCGTGCGAATTGCACGTTTGGATTTTTTTTCCTTGCACAATTTGAAATTTGGTTCAAATTTACGATAATAAAGTATGCAAAATGGTCATAAAAATAATTTTGCACCTTTTTCAGAGTATGTACTAGAGTATGAGAGTAACTTGCTCATATGATCGCTTTAACTGTCAAATCAGCGTTGTATGTGTATTTATGCTGTAGCATATGCGAAACGGTCGATTCTCTTTGTATACATATGACAGTTTGTAAGGACCTACGACAACTACATATCTTCATATATATATATATATATTCACTCCAGCTGTGATACGAGGTTTGTTTATATTCTTTTCGCTATTTGACAACAGTCTGTGATGATATAACCCACTTTTTATCGTCGGTTTATTTTATTCCATTTTTTGGTTCAACTATTTTAGTTTGCAACTCTACTGAACATTGAATCAATGATGAGTCGCTGTATTTGGGCTAAATTAAATACTTTGAAAAACACATAGCAATTAATGATATTCATATAAGAATGTTATACTTTCGCATAACTTTAAATTTTCCGCTCACATCAATTGTAAGATCGAATCAAGATGGATTGACGAAAATCTGTGACGAACTAATATGCAACAATTTCGATGATTTTTATTGTTGGCATTCAATTTGGTTGCATTAAAATGACATCAAACCAAACCGTGACGAAAACCGTTGACGAAAACATATGATAAAAGTCAACACACCCAATCTGTACTTGTCAATAAAATTTTAATCTCCGTATTGTAGATCAGGGCCAAACAAAAATTGTATTTTCACAATTTTTTTTTACTGTGATAAAAAACGACGGATACTATTTCATATAAAAAAAATTCTTCTCTTTGAAATCATACCATATTGTTATATGTTTCAAATGGCGAATCAATCCGATTAAATTAAATTGATCTGGTTTATTCAGAGATGTTTATCATATGTAGCATGTTTGGTTGACATTGCCCTTGGACTTCACATCAAGCAAGACTATACCTACTGTTCGCAATGATGATTTTAGATGAATGGGCTATCGATTGATTGCATCTGCTGTAAGTCGTATTTTATTCACATGCTTTATTTTGATTGGGAAAATCACTGATACTCATGATCTAGATGGTATTGTTAATTAAAGAGGTATTGCTGATGTAATATGGCCGATATGCATGCGATATACAGTAGTCTTTTCTTCAGAAACAGTTTTTTTTTTGAAATGCTAATTAATTGATGTTTGAATAAATATACTATATATAATGTAAAGAGTCATCACATTTGTCAAAAGCAAATAAACAAGTGAAGAAGTTCTTGGACATTTCTGCATCTGACCAATAAAATAGTAGTGTCAAAAATGGGCACTGTGAAGAGAAAGTATTTGAAAATAATGTGTCTGTGCATTTCGATATCGATCGTTTGCGCAGCAGAACAGCCTAAAACAAATTCATCTTCCAACGGCAGTGACACACTTACCTTTTTCGAAGAGATAACAAGTTTAGGAACTGAATATTTTCAATCGCGAAATAACACCAAATTCATTCCAATGGTCGAATCATTGTTGTACCGAATAAAAGAAAATGCAAAAAATCACGATGAATTTGCTGATGACAAAAAATTGCTGAGATATTTGTACACAGCTGCATTGAGTGAATTGTTTGCGATGCGAGGTTATTATACCATAATATCGTGCGCAGATATCGTTGGATACATGAATCAATCGCAGGAACATCTTCTTGATATGCAGCAAAGACCAGTCGATTTGATGCTTTATATAGGCTATGACATAAAATATAAAAGCGATATGGATTATGAAATAAAAAACGTGACGTCTACCGTGATGAAGACTCTAGGTCGTATTATTAGTCAGTTTGTAAGTTCAACGATTGAAGGCAGAGCTTTGATTGCAGATATTTGGAGGAAATTTGATCAGACGAATTGAGTGTGGTTAATCAGAAAATATCAACGGTAAGAACGGAAATTGAAGAAAGCAATGTCATTTTTGAACACCATCTAGTCGATACTAAGCGTAACGAGTTGAAAGCATTTATTGTGGATAAAAGGACGATTTTAGAACGCCACAATCATGGGACAAATCCGAAGATATCAGAGCAAATACAAATACTAAAGTATGCGGAAATGCTTTGCGAATTGACTGTAGCTTCTTCAAGCATTTACGATCATCTTCGAAATGACGAGACAAAAATGGAATTCTTCTCTAAGCTATTTAATGCAATGAAGAATGAATCGACGGTATGGAAGGAGATTGAGGCACGAGTATATGGTTTGATGCTACAACATTTGCGTGAAATTAAAGACACTCGCGATGAGATTTTTGAAAACATTGATCACCACAAGCACACTGAACTCAACATAAGCAAATGGCGCATTCAGAATTTAATGGACGGATTGAAAATGACGTTTTCTCAAAAAAAAAAAGAATGTGTTTTCAGGAAATGGCAATCTCCAAAAATGCTATGACAGACTAAATGTGTGCGCTTTGATATCTTTACCGATGTTTTTAATCTAAAGGTGTCAAACGGACGGACAACGGACGGACATTTGCTGTCCGTCCGTCCTTTTACAAATTTAGGACGGACAATTTTTTTTGTCCGTCCGTTTGAAAATTTAGGACGGACAAATTTTTTTGTCCGTCCGTTTGAAAATTTAGGACGGACGAACGGGCATTTCTTACAGAAGGACGGACAAAAGTATATGTTCGTTTGACTCCTGACGATATTTTTAATAAAACAATATCAGAAATGAATTCCTCGTCGAAAACTAAGTTATAATAGCTTATTGGATTTTCTAAAAGTTAGATTTGCGGGCTTTTTTGGACGATCAAAATATCAAACGGACGGACAAATTTTTTTTGTCCGTCCTACATTTTCAAACGGACGGACAAAAAATTGTGTCCGTCCTAAATTTTCAAACGGACAGACAAAAAAATTTGTCCGTCCCAAATTTGTAAAAGGACGGACGGACGGACAAACGAGTGTCCGTTTGACACCTTTATTTTAATCGCATCGACGCGTATTTTCTTATTGCCAAATTCAAGGCTTACTTTGAAATGTCCCTTGACAATATGCCAGGCGATACATCCAATATGCAAATATCAAGTGTAACACAAATTATCCGAACAATGCACGCAGTGAAAGAATATGAAAAAGAAATATTCGTATTCAATCAACATCAATTCTCCTTTTCTCACGCTTGTATGTCATTTAAATTACCAACCGATTTCCAATCCAGCGACACTAAATCGTTTGTAAATCAGGCCATCAAGCATATCGATTATTTCAAGGAACAGGTGGAGCTATCAGAATGCAAAGAGAATATGATGACGGTTTACATAAAAAGGTCAATTTCAATAGCGATAACAGTAGCGGTGTTGGTCCATTCTACACATGGAAATACGGTGAAATTAAAACTGAGATTGAAGATTTATTGCAAGGGAAGGAAATCGTAATTACTCCAAATATAATCAAGGGGTTAAAACTGAATGCCCTGAAATTCGATCGTATTGGAATTCGTTTAAAACTGGAAAACGAAACCGATCAATCGAAATTGGACGATGAACTTTGGATCATTTGGACTGAGAATGGCAATCGAGGGAAATTGCTATTACAAATGCGGCCAAAGATTCTATAGCATTACCATTCATGGGTGTTGAATGTCATTCAACGCCACTAAGCTGTAGACATCTCTCTCCGGCTATATGGTAAACAACAGAACCAACACTGAACATGAAAATGACATGTTCAATTGTGTTTGTTTCGTTAGTTTCAACTGCGCCGCTACGAGAGGTCACTTTTGTCGTTTCTTTTTGTTATTTTACATATAAAATCAATGGTATTAGACGAGGATGTTACCATTCAGCCATATTAGTATTAATTATGTTCCGTATGGACTTGAAAACCACGTCATTCGTAATGAAGTATACCGCAAAATTACAGAGGGAGATATTTCCCTCCAGTCCATTCGCTACCTGGAGAATAAAATTGGATTCAAAAATTGATGACCGCTATCGTCCGTTACAATTATTCAAAAATAAAACCATCGACTTGGAGCTTATCGGACGAGGACAGTACTTTGAAGATCAAGCATCATTTACATCTGCAAATTTGCACCGAAAAATTAGACAAATACCATCCAATTGATAAGGCTTTAACTAATGTTGTTTGAAATAAAATGTCTATTTCTTATTTTATTTGAAGCGACAGTTTAAGAGATAAATTAAAAGACCTGGGTGCGTTGAAGTTGAAATAAAGTACAGTATTGGATGAGTGGGAACGTTTTATTCAATCAATAAATGAAAAAAACTATACTCATGCTCAGGAAAAATTGCTCGGTCAGTAGTTAGTATCAATGAATATCACTAAAAATGTCATAAATTATTGTAAAATGGGTAGAAAATAAACTGTCAAACACAACGTTTTTTTTATGCTTGAAAAACGATTTTCTTTGATCGCCAAAGAGGAATTTCTCGATATCTTGATTTGGTGAAGAGTTAGAGCGCACAAACCAAATCCCTTCGAGATGAATTTTTTCATCTTATGTTTTTTTGGAATATTCATAATTGTTCGCTATTTTTTCACAAATACCCGAACGTATGGCAGTTAATTGGTTAATGTTGGTGACATCGTTTGGTATTGTCTGGATGGATAACATCTGGGAAGCAACGGATAGTTTTCGCTCATTGATTTCTGAACGCGATAACGCAGCAGCAAATAAATTGCGACGAAAAATGAAACGCATTCATTTTAATTGTTATCAAACTATATTTTGCGACATTTCTTCACTTTTTTCTGTAATGATTTTGGTTGCCTGTGTTCAGACAGTTTCCCATTGATTTTCTTCTTCAATTAATTTCTTACAATACATTATTCGCATCATATTTATGCACATTTGTGTTTTGTTTTAATTATTATTTTTTCAATCTATTAATTATTCGAATCTGTTCAACGTAATATATGAGTTCAGTTTAGTTTACCTAATAATTGTTAAATTGAACCGCTCGCTTACGTTTGGCTTGCGTCTGTGTTTTTGTGTTAGTTGTTGTTGTTCATTGATTTTGTGTGGGAGTGATGATACATATTTCATTCTCTCTCTAATTCTTATTTAACCCACTGGTAGAAAAAGAAAGACTACATTATTTGTTGTTGTTGTTGTTGTTTTAAGAAAGAAAAGAAAACACACAAAACGTTGTAAATAATTATCACCTAATTGAATGCATCCCTTTTATCAACTTCAATTGGTTTTGCATTCGGTTTCCAGATGAACTAAATTAGTTCATTTATGTGTTTTGTCTCCAACGGGAGAGATAAAATGAAGCAGATTCGGGCAAAACTTTCTGTTTTCTCGCTATTTTTTTAAAAAAATGATCCCGATTGCTCAGAATCCAAATTGAGTATCGATTTATCATCAATAAATTTTCATTTAGTTTGTATTGAAATTGAAATGGGTGAATCGAATTAGGATTGAATATGGAATTCGAACGGTGTGCATTGTGAAGTCCTTAAATCACTTTTATGTTCACAGTTCAAACGAACAATTTCGGGAAAATTCAAAGCTAGCTACTATTTAAACAGAGAAGAAACCGCTTATGAAAAATGATATCAATGCTGTGTTGTTTTGAAGAAATAAATGAGTACCACTGGAATTTGCATCGTAATGCATCAATAAAGCATCGGCCAGAATAACTCTCACTTCCATTTTTGGTTTATAAAAATTATATTTTCCAATATGATTGATTCAGAATTATCTTTTGAGATAAGTTGATGTGACTTTTCTATTTCAGTCGTAAGATCTCATCTCCATGTTTTTTTTTGCTCGATTGTGAGCAATGGATGTGCCGAAAAAAACGAACATAGGCGCAATGTCGAACGTAGTTTTTTCTAGACGAAAAATTGATCTCATTACAGCCACTTGCCTGAATTAGCCAACAAAGTACATATCTAAAATTGCCCCCACACAGCTATCCATTGAATAATTTTATAGCAAGCTGTTTTTTTTATCGAATCACAAATGTTCACCAATATGTCGAGCATCCAATAAGTGGACGGTAAATTTTCAATTGAATATTTTTCAAAAAGGGTGCGGGTCGCGATCGACTTTTTGCGGCAACTGGTTTTATCTCGGCCAAAATTATAGGAAAACGGCTGAAATCTTTACCACATATAAAAATAAGTATTCAATTAAATAGAAAAATGTGTGATTTATGCTTAAAAATGGAACTGACAGTTGAACCCGTGAGCATAAAAACGACTTATTAAACAATCGCCGAACAAAACGATACAAGAAAAAACTACCAATAAAACACACGTTAAAAACGTAATACAGCAGGACGGTACCGTTCAAAACGAAACTCCACTGTGCTACACATTACCGCTGTGGTACGTTTTGTTCGGTAGTTTTTTCTTGTATCGTTTTGTTCGGCGATTGTTTATTAAGTCGTTTTTATGCTCACGGGTTCAGTTGTTCTGGCCGAATCTGCATGTAAGACAGTAAATACGGTGGTTCAGAATGTGAATTTAAAAGTCGACTGAAAATTGCTATTTTTACACCAACAAAAAAAATGTGAGTAAATAAACAAATCGGCATTGGCTGATTCTGACTTTGTCTATGAAAAAATGGCTAAATTATCGCTATTACAACAAGAATAACAAATGAAAATCGTCTCCACATGACAATATATCTTCTACGCAATTAAAAACAATTTGGTATTAATTTTTACGAAAAGATGAGAAAGACATTTATTTAATTTGTTTCTGTTGCTCTTTCTTTAAATAGATGGATTGTTTTGCTTCAAACGTTTTCGTTGTCATTTTTTTTAGATTGTTATTGTTTCAATTGAATAATTCATTTTTTTGAATAAACAAAAACATATTCTGCGTTTTGATATATTGATGTGAAAATAGAAAAAAAAAAAAACAACAAAAAACATCAAGAATTTACTTTTCAAAAGCATTTTGTCTGTTATCAGAGTTCATTTAAAAATGAGCAATTTCTACATTTGAGTTTCTTTTTTCGTGATCCGGTTACATATTGTTTGAAGAAAAATCCAAACGTTTTCTCATCGATGTGGTGGTTTTATGTCTTCGTCGTTGTCGACGTCAATTTGTGGATTTCCATGTGGGAGAGAGGTTCAACAAAAATCAAATCGTTTAAAGAAGAAACCTATTTCGTAAGCTACACTAACCATGCAAAGCGAAGGAGAAATGAGAATCTGGGCTAGACTAAACACATCTTGTTTCCGCTAAGTAAACGTAGATTTTTTTTCTTTACTGTTCAACGCAAACCAATACAACTATATACTTTTCATTTTTGTTTTCAATAATATGAAGAGAAATTTCTGGTAGAGTTTGTTTTTCTTCTTGTTGTCAAACACATATTTACGAAATGTTCTGAGTTTTGTTCTCTCTCTCGTTTTCTTCGTGTGTTTCTTGGAAAATTCAACGAATTAGAAAAAAAAATAGAATTAAAAAATCTGCTTTATCCGTAATGATACAATATTACAATAAATTTAAATCTTGATTCGCATCGTTTCCAAATATTTTTCTCTTTTTTCCATTCTTTATTTCGATCTGTCGATCACTTTGTTCTACTAGAAAATAATATGCTTTTCTTGTTTCTTCTATTTTTCACATTTTTTGATGCATCATTTAATTCATCATCTTTCTTTTCTTTTTTTAAGTTAAATCATTATTTTATCTTTTTCATTTTGAATACAAAAACACGAATTTAAGCAACAACAGCGAATAACGACGGTCATTGAGATGAGTCCAAAATGGAATCGATGCTGGCAAACGCACAGCTACCGATTGAAGAGCTTGCCATCAGGTGCAATAATTCGCAGGCATGTGCTACACATACTTCCAACGGTGGTCGCCACGAGTAGTTCATTGATTCTACATATGCACGAAGAGACGAGGGAGAGAATGAAAAAAAAAGAAGAACAATTAGATATTTGATTAGCATTTTCGTGTCATTCCTATTAACTGTATGCCATTTCAGTTTCGGCCTTACCTAATATGGCAGAGTTTAATGCAGCACAAACAATTTCACGCCGTGAAGGGCACAACTGCCATCCCATCGGACTAGACCAAGGATTTGAATAAGCTAACAAACTAAATGCGTCCTGTGAAATCGAAAAAAAAAACGTTATTAGTATGGAATTAAGATAAGGAACAGAAGATGCTAGTCGAATTGCAAGTCTTGTTTGCATTCGCCAATTTGGCCCTTGGATTGCTTACTTCTAACATTTTACGGTTTGTTTCATTTGCGCCATTTTCTTTTTCCAGCCGTTGACTCATCTGAAATAGCTCACGACCGAATTCGAGCATTCGTTCGACACCTGATTTGCTCGTCTTTCTATTTGGTATCAGGTCCACGTCTACTTTGGAAACAAACGGAACAATTGGTTATTTTCAATTCTATTTGCAATGAATGATGCAAGGAAACAATAGCCAAAACAAATGGAATGTAATACTATTTACCCATATCTTCGTCTGTGTCTATCGATGAATGGTTGATGCTGCTGCTATCTGTTCCATTTTTATGGCTATTACCTACGAAAAGATAAATAAAAACAGTTTCGGTTGTTATTCGCTGTCCAAACGGAAAATCGCAACGTTTTTTTTGCCACTTACCATTCGTTACATTATGACCATTTTCCATTTCGACATCATTGCTGAAATCGTTGTTGTTTGCTGTGTTGATTTGGTTATTCAATTGAACATCGTCGTGATTGCAATTGTTTTTCAGTGGTTCGCAGAGGTGCTCTAAACTATTTGCCGCCGAAAAATTACTGAGAAAACGGATGAGACAAAAATCACAATTTTAATATTCGAATTGCTTAGAAAATCTCGTCTCGATTGCAATGTATAGAGTGATTGATGCTTACTCAATGTTATTTATATCGGGATTGTCGTTCATTGTGGTTGGTGACTCGCTGATTAGGGGACCGATGTTGTTATTTATATTGTTTGCGTTATTATTTATACCGTTATTGTTATTTGTTTGTGATCCATTTTGATAGGATTTCGTTGATTGAATCACCGATGTTTGGACTGGATTGCTTGTTGTTGAACGAGATGTGCCATTCTGCAAATGAACACGGACAAAAAAAAAAATACATAACAGAGATAAGAATGAATTCGGTTTTTGTTTGTTTTGTCTGGAAGATAAAAATGAATTCAATTCAATTCGATGTTTGACTGTTGAATTCACCTCGAAATCAGATCCATTAACCATTTCGACGAATTGTCTGCACTTCAGCATGAACAGTAGATTTTGATTGTTTTCTAATAAACCGGGGTAGGAACGAAGTGTGTGCTCGATTGCAAGCCCCATTCGACCGCTCATAACAAGTTTTAAGATTTCTGAAATCACAATGAACACCAATTGATTAAGAGAAATTCGAAAGCATGGCTCCACTCAAAAATTCCAAACTGATACATGGTTACTCTTCTTACTTTGACGGGTTTTTATTGAAGTCATTTCTTCATTAAGATTTTGTTCGGTTGCTTTTGCAAACGATTCAGCTGTCGAACTGTAGCCGTGATGAACTAAATAGGATGAAACCATTCTGTCGAGTGAGAAAATAGAAAGAATACGAAATTAAAACCATGTTTCATGGGAAATAAATGAGCAATGGTGTACAAACTTATTTAAGATTATAGTCCAATCGCCTTGATCATCGGCCAGTGGAAACTTTAATATGGAAGCTTTTGTTGACTCTCTCAATTCTTTGAGCATATCTTCGATATCAAATACAAACGGCTGCTGTCCGAAGTTTGCGTCAACAATTTCGCCGGGTGTCTGTAGTCCAACCGTTGGATACAATTTCGACTATATGAAGAAAAAGAAATTGGGAAAATAATCGTCAGAATTGCGTACCAAAAAAACGAAACGATTTGAGTTTGAAGTTTAAAAGATACGTACCGGTAGATCTTGGAATGCGATGCCAAGATTGTGACCATTCTTCGTGTAGAAACATGTGTTTGTGACTAAATTAACGCCACAACCGATGATATCGTCGGTGGTAAAAGTGGGTCCGTAACTTTTACCATTGCCAGACGATGAGAATGAGTTGCCATCATCGCCGTGATAGCCGTATGATTGTTTGTCCCAGCCAGGCAGCCGATTTGATTTGAAATTCTGTGCGGTTAAACCGATTCCCATGTAGCCATCGCGACCTTTCGATATGATTTTCACTTCGAAGTAGTATAGACCACAGGCCGCCGGAATCGGATATGGTGTACGTACGGAAGCAGCATCATTGTGTGATTTTCCAACACCTAATTTATGTTCGGAAAATACGGGGAAAATAAATAGACATGCATGAAACAATCATTGTCTTTTGGTTGTTAAATCACCATTGCCTCATTTGCCCAATTCAATGTTCCAGTTCAGTTCTTGTGCGTTTGAAAGTAAAAGTGTGCCAATAATTGAGTTCTTCTGAATAATCATTAGTTTTATTTGATTTCATTTAGAATCAGATTGGCTCAGTTCTTTATTCGATTCCATTTCGCTATCGATGCGATTATTTGATCGATTTTCGTTTTATGGTGCGGTGAAAATCAATAGACCGAAACTTCACATCCATAATAAATTGTTTGACTAGAAAACAATTTGCCTTCGACATAACATGCATGACTGCCGCGTTATGCATTCCGATGAAGGAAACATTTTGTGCATACACACACACTTTGGCACATTCGTACTCGTACTTGAATGTCGAGATTGTGTTTTGTGAGTTGTATCGATTGAAAAAAAAGAGCCAAACAATGAATTCACGAAAAATAAAATCCTTGCCATCTACTCGAGTGTTTGTGTGTACGTCTGTCTGTATGTGTGTGCGTTATTTAATCAGCCGACAATGAAATAATCAATAAACGCTTTTTGGTTGCACCGAATGAACAGACCTTTTCGGTGAACGACATTCAGAAGAAGTCATCCGAAACGAAAACAATACCTATATTATTAATCACAAGATAAATATTTTCGCATGAATCAAGTTACTATGAAAATAAGATGTATTTTGCCCCCTTTGATGTGAACGCATAATGAAACGAAACACAGAAGAACTTAAAAAAAAGAAGGTTAATTGAAGCACCCTCATCAAAAAAGATAATTGTAAAATGTTGCAATTAAACTTACAGCCGTAGCAATGCAACTCCAATCTCTTTCCTGGTCTCTCTCTCTCTCTCTCTCTCTCTCTCTCTCTCTCTCTCCCTTTCGCCATCTCTATTTAAAATATGCATCCATTGCAACGCATATCAAATGCAAAAGATATTGCAGATATTGCAGTGTGAACCTTGGAAAAACAAATCTAACAAATCCGAAGGTTTGTGTAGAATTTTCTTGCTAATCAAAATACCTTTAATCATTGTATTTATCATACAAATAAATGCCTAGACAGATACTCTTATTCCATATCCATCTTTTTCCCATTTTCTCTGCTGGAAGACAGACACATTTGTGCAAATACAAGTGTGTAGCAAATAATAATTTTCGGCCAATTTGGTGTGCAATGCTGCGACAAAATCGCCATTTCATATCAGCTGCGAAAATCGGGATAAGATTTTTGCATAAACACCATGACAATTGTAAGTGTCTCTCTATCGTATTACACATATAATTTTTACTGCAGAATCATCTGCTGCTACACAATTTCAATATGTATATTTTGCACTTGTATGCTCATAACTGTTACTGGTAGTGAGATATTGTTATTGTTGTTGCTACTGCTGCTTGTGCTCATTTTGTTCACAGCACAAAGAAAGGCGATTTGCGCACGATTTTCAAATCGTTTTTTTTTCTCTGTTGCAATTTTTGATGTTGCGAAAAGAAAATTTATTTCTTCTGAATTTCTCATTTGCTATTTTTTTTTTTGGATAATTATACGGAAACGAAATAATTGCAAACAAAATGCGCAAAAAATGGACGCTCACTTCACGCGAAACCAAAGCAAAGAAAAAAATAATCATTAGAAAAAAAACAAACGCAATAATGAATATATAAAAAACAAAATCAAAAACAACTCTAATAAAACGATACACACAATAATAAATTAAAAGTGAGCGTGAGCGTTAATACGAAAACCTTGTACGACGACGACATTCGATGCGCGTTTTGATGAAAATCAGCTGATAGAGAGGGAGAGAGAACGTATATACATATATATATATATATATATATATGTATTTCTTTTATTGAAACTTCTATTCCTTTCTGTCCATTTTTTAAATTTCCTCTCTCCGTCTGAATTTTTCCGATAATAATTTACGCATTTGATGATTTGATTTTGCATCCAATTGATATTCACAAAATGAGAGAAAATCGCTTTTGATATAAATCGCACTATTTTTTTATTGTCTTCTTCTTCTTTTTTTTCTCTCTCAACAATAACAGCACTTGAATTCATTTGCATTTGCATTCAACGCAACCAAACAATATTTTTCGTTGAGCACTTGAGTCTTTGTTGTATGATTGGTGTTCCTTTTGTATCTAATATAACGGACGATTCCGTTGTGACCTTTATTTAACTGATCAGTTTTTCATGCATTGACACGAGAAAAACAAAACGTAGGTAAAATTGTATTTGCAACGATGTGTAGTTGAAGGCGATGTGATTATATGTTTTTAGGTGAAAAACGTTTTTTTCGTTCCTCTAATTTTTCCAAATGCAATGACGGAAATATTGTTTATATTCTCGTTGTTGATCCGTTGATTGGCAATGAGGGAAAATACTGTGAATTTTATATATATATAGTATATACTTGGAATGTGGCACACATCTCACACAAAAATCGGAGAAGCAGTAAAAAAAATGCGTCAGACAGAGAACAGAACAAAGAACCGAAAACTCAAACAAAACGGCACAAGAAATTTGGTATATACATTTTTTTTTCTGCTGATTTCGAGGCGATTTTTTTATTTTATTTTTGATGAAGAAAAAAAAATGGTGCATAAAAACCTTTGTAATGAACACGTAAATTATTTTGGGTCAGTCCAATCGAATTACACTTCTCTTGTGAGCTCCATGATCGAGGTAGTGGCGTCAATTTTTCGTCAACATTTGGATATAATAATTTTAGACGATCCACTGGCTGACCAGACATATCTTTTTCGCTTGGATTGATATACGTTGAATCCATCTTTGTTTTAACAAAAATTTTCCCGTCGCTGAATATGAAAAGATTGTGTGTGTTTTTTTTTTATTTTGAAAATCTCATCACTACACTTGATGTAAACGTTGTTTGTCAGCCATTTATAATTTTATATTGATGAAATTCAGTTTTTGCTCGTATTTCTTTGTGTAACTGTGATGCACATACAAATGAAAAACAAACTTCATCCAGTACACACAAACTAATACAGAGTCAAAACACACTTGGGCCTCTCGCTCTATCTTTCTTGCTCTTCTCCCTCTTTCTCTCTTTCTTTTGCTGTGTGTCTCTTCGCTTGCTACGCGAACCAACGTACCAAACGAACAGAATGAACAAAACGATACGTTTCTCTCAATGTTTCTTCTATGCTTATTGCGTATGGCGAACCAAAACTCAATTCAGTTTACTCAGCTCACTCACTCACTCAGTCCTATGGCCCCAACAAATCAATGTGCACAAAGTATCTTGCCTTTTGCTTGTGTATAGAAAATAATGTGCTCGCTTCACAATGTATACACAAAATAATACAGCGAAAGAGAAAAAAAAACAACAACGAGAAGAATGAAGAAGAAGCACAATAACACAGCATGTATACCGTAGTTTTGTGCTGATGATATGCGTCCTGTCTCTTTTTTGCAAACTCATTTAACGTGACGCAGTATTTTCATGCTATCACTTTTTTCGTTTTATCACATCACTATTCAAGCATTGAACGAAGTAGGAAAGCAAAATCCCACTGTGGTGTGCTACACCACAGCAATACATTCAAACACGAATATACACATCCCTCCATATGATGGATTATCATACAGAAATTACCCACTTAGTATTGCCATCTCGATTCGGTCAAAACTGCACAAATTCAATCACAAAACTTGAAAATAGTTCGCGAAATTGCTTCGAATATTATTGTGAAAATTTCAATGTATCCCATGATCATTTCATTTCTTTTTTGGAAACATTTTCCGAAATTTATATACAGATTTCATGAGACATTTGTAATTCAAACGTCTAACACGCTTATCATGTCAATGGACAAGTTGAAATCGAGATGGCGGCACATACCGCACAAGTCAACAAATGTCAAAACAACAATTCTTGCATTTTTCCAAACGTTTATTACTTCGTTGATTTGTTTTGGTCTTGTTTTTTCCCGAAATTTTCGCCTGAAAAGTGTGCAGTTGCATTTCATTTTTCAGAGAAATATCTTCCGCAATTGTCATTATCACATTAGTTCCAAAGTGTTTATTATTAAAAAAGAATGTCGAACAATCCATCCGCTTTGGCATCGCTTACACATTACACGGATTCGGAGAATGAAGACGGCCACGATTCGGAAGAAAATAGTCCACGGACAGAAGATTCCAACGAATCACAGGTAGGGAGTACGACAATTCTCAAACACACCACGTCAAACTGACGAATTGTATTTGTTTTTCAGGTAATATTCCCGACATCGTCGAAACCATCAACGCCGGTGAAAACGCGATCGGTGAATTCGACGCCGTCAAAAGTTGAGGCAAAGTCTGGACTACGACTTGTTAGCTATCACGACGACACAGTCATATCAGATGATGAAAATGACGATGATTCGCCAAATCATGAAGATTTTGAAATGGAAACATCTGATTGTGAGGCCGAGGCTGAAGCGAATGAAAACAATGAAAACGAAGAGCCTACCAACGAACCGAAACGTGATCGTGTTGCCGAATATGGATTCGCTTTGCCGCCGGAACCAAAAAGCAAATGTCCACAAGAATTACAAGATAAAATCACAAAAATGTACGAAAAAATGCGAACCAACAACATGGACATGAATAAATTGATACAGGAGCGCAAAGAATTCCGTAATCCAAGCATTTATGAAAAACTCATTCAATATTGTGATATCGACGAATTAGGCACGAACTATCCACCCGAACTGTATGATCCAATGCAATGGACAAGTAAGTTAACACAATTCGATCACTAATTTTGAGAGTTAGGCATTTCGATTTGAATCGCATTTTGCTCATTTGTTTACTCTTTTTGGACACAGACAAGGAATCATTCTACGAAGAATTGGCTAAAGTACAAAAAATCGAAATGGATAAACGGGAAAAAGAATTCAGTAAAAGTGAAATGGTACAAGCGGCAACAAAAAAAGCGGAAGAAGAAGCAAAGAAACGGTATTTTGTGGATTGATTGATTGTTCAATTGACCTTTCTATTATCGCCAAGAACAGAAAAAAAACAATTTTGTCTGGTTTTTGTTTCAATTAGGAAATCGAAATGGGATCAACCGGCACCAAGCGCTGTGGTAATGCAACAGGCAAACGTTATCAAATCATCCGGACTAATAACAACAAGTATAACTGGAACCAAGGGTAGTGTGAAAAAATATAGCAAAGATTATATGTGTATTTCTATATTTGTACGTCTATTTTTTTTAGGTACTGTGATATCAGCGTTCGGTTCATTGCCTAAAAAATCGAAACCCTAATTTCTGTCAACATTCGAATGAAAAAAACTATAAATGTGTGTGTGTTTGAAATAATTTATAAAACATTGCGCTTAAAAAAATAGACGAAATAAATTTGTATACAGAGAAAACGAAGCCAAAAATGATTTATTCCCTTGTGTCTGAAATGGGAGAGAGAGAGAGAGAGAGAGAGAGAGAGAACTTGCTGTTTGGCATATATATTGCGGCCAAATTTTTTCATTTTGAAATACTGAATGATAAACGGACATATTCTATCAAATGTTATCTTCCCGGTCATATTGAACATATATGATGCGATGGTCGAGACACGGATTTAATGCCAACAATTTTTTGTTGTTTCTTCCTCGTTTTTCTTCAATTGCTCATGATTTTTGGTGACATTGATCCATTTTTCATGTGCCGCTGTAAATTCTCCGTCTTTTTTGCGTTTAGCGCAATTCAGATGGTAGAATTGAACTTGCCAAAATGTCAATGTATTTTATACTTTTCGAAAAACCAAAACACGAGCAAGAGACAGAGTGAGAGATAGAGAGAGAGAGAGAGAGAGAGTGAGCACGCTAATGATGATGACGGTGTGTTTATATGTGTGATGTTGATTCTTACGTACGACGCCCTAGTCAACTAGTTGATACACATTATTAAGTACAAATGTCAAGAACTTTAACACTAAAATACACTTGGATGATACTTAAACCAATCGGTATGTCTCCTTTTCGCACATTCATACAACACGATCTCTGGAAATCATGAGTGCACACACAATCAAAAGCATTTTCGCTTTTTTACAGATTAGTTCAACTGACAGATAAATGTTTTTTTTACCTCAATATTCTACCACTTTTCCGAAACGAGAAAGAAAAAGAATTTTTTTTAACATAGTTTGTCGGCGTTGAAGAAGAACGACATTTCTGGTCGGAAATTGTGTTTGAGGTTTTCATCGAAAGTCAGAAAACAACAGGAGACACAGGAAAAGAAGAGAAACAGAAGAAGCAAGAGAGAGAGAGAGGGAAATTATAAATAAATCTATCGGAATAAACATACAACTTTGCAATCGAACATCAAGTAGAAAAAAAAAAAGGTATTGATTTGATAACAACATTACAGAAGTGTGTTCTTATGTGAATAATAGACTCATTTTGCAATTTTGTGACCAACAGAGAGAAAAAGAGACAAGATAGAATTTTTCTTTCTTCTTCTTTTACTTTCTCGTGTGAGAAACAACAAACAAAAGCCGCCAATATTAACACAACGTCTCATTTGTAGTGATAATTATTATTTGTTCAGTCAGGCGAATCAGCGACATTGAATAAACATTTATTCTAGCCAGAAGAATTTATTTTTGGTTGGTGCGAGAGATTGTGTTGGTAGAAATTAGAAAAGAAAAAACCGGCTGATGTACGAACCCAATTGAAAGTGCGTTTGTTGTGCATGATTCACAGAGAAATAGAGCGAACAGTACTCCTTAATCAATTGACAATTCGGCTGGTATTTTCTGCTCTTCTGTCCAAATGGTGCCATAATGAAATTTTAATTAAACAAAACCAATTTTAAAGTGAAAACTAAAAAAAAAAACAAAAGTGCGAGCGAAGATTAGTTCAACATTCATATTCTGATACTTTTACTATCGTGTATTGTTCTTTCGTTTTAATTCTGTCTGTGATTTTTTTCCCAAATGTTTTCGTAAAATATTCGAGAAAAAAACAAGAAATTACTCGAATATCTCACATATTCTTCAAGTGTTCAAGAATGCACTCAACATGAAACAAATCGATCCGACGGCAGGCTGGGATTCTCTAGTCCCATTTCTATGTGCTTTTTTACAATTTCCTTTGAACTTTGTTCGCTAGCCCATGAAGTGTTTCAGTGTTTATCAGAAAAAAAAGACAACCCAACCTGTTCATTCATGACACAAAACTTATCAGAAAAAAAAATTTGGTTTCATTGTTTTATGCAATTCATCTTCGGTTCATACGTTTCATTTTGGCACATTGGCGCTAACAGCACAATCTACACACAACTGGCAATTGAAATCATTTCCTAGACCATTTTGGTTTTGTTTCGCTTAATTTTTCCTCTGCTCATCAAAAACAATGGTTGTGCGTGCACAGTGTGTTTAAATAACCATAGTGTAATCAATTTCGGTGTATTATGCCCTCTTCTCTTATCTAGTGGAAAAGTACGTGTTGATTTAAGTTACAACAGCGAGAGGAGAGCGAAAAAAAAACGGAAATAGAATAAACAATTGATAGTTAAAATAGAATTGAAAAAAAAATCAAATTAAACGAAATGGGGTGCACATCGTCTGCGGAAGAGCGTGCGGCTATAGCACGATCAAAACTAATAGAGAAAAATCTGAAAGAAGATGGAATCCAAGCGGCCAAAGATATTAAACTATTACTATTGGGTAAGTAAATGAAATTATGTTTTCATCTCTGTTTTTCGGTTTATTTGATAGCATTCGGTGTCATTGCCCTATATTCGATCGCACGCTCGGTGTGCGCTCAATCAACGTCACTTTGACTGTTTCTCTTTATTTAACGCGCTCCTCTGTGTCTCTCCATCGACGTGTATCTGCTCCATTCAATGGAGTATGTTGGCAGGCGAGTTTTAATATGCAAATTATATTCAGCGTTGCCGGAAGATCTTTCTTTATTGCAACAAAGCGACACACAGCTTCAACCTGTGTTCTGCCGACTAGTAATTTGGTCAAGGAGCTTTTCTTGTTCGTTTCTACTTGTCGCTTAGAGAACATTTGAGGTCATATCATCTATAGTCACTTCGACTGCTATCTGCCTGCAAGATCAATATGGCAAATGGACCATTGCTAACAGTGGTAAATGTTATCGGTATCGAGTATCGGTATTAGTATAAATGAAACATTTTAGCGTCACATTTCTGAGCTAAGTAAATCTATAGTCATGAGTTGCGGGGAGAAAAGAAAGGTAAACGAGTTGCTACTATACGGGCTATTTGGCGACGGCGGGTATGTTGTGCGTGTGTGAGTGAGTTTGCTATGCATTTTTTCCCTCCATGTGCAGTGCCATAAACGAGCAATAACATATTCAGAGTATAACGATAAAAATGTGATAAATGCATGAAGGGTGTCGGTGCACCATTAGAGGGATAAAAATCAGCAACAGCAGCAACAATTAAACTTTACTCGGTGTATTAGTGCAAACAATGTTGACAACGCCATATAATTACTGGCTGTGCCGTTGCATTCAAGATGCAGCTCAAGTCTTGTATATCGAATCAATTGAATCATAATATAGGAATGAAAGTGTTGAAGTCGTCGCCCAAACATGGTTTTCACATTCATCGACAGTGTGTTGCATTTGCCCGAACGAATACGTGTTTATAGATGCACTACTATATGATCAAACACATGCAAAATATCCATAAGACTGCACATTGAATGCATGGAAAATAAATGGATGGATGGATGATAAAAATACGTATAGTATATTAGATATTGGAGATGTTGTGTGCACGGTGTGTGTGTGTGCGCCTAAATTTGCTCCGGGTTTTAAAATTAAATGGACGAGTATGGAAAGTGTGACCGTATCGAACAAAACGGAATGAAGCTTAGAATAGAATGCTTAATATTGAATCTATTGACGCAGAGAGATGATTTCAATTTGACATAAGAGTCAAATGGCTTGAATGTAACACATCACATTAAATAGATATGTTTTATTGGTAGCGGTTGGGCTCGTTAAGATGTTTTCCAAATCTTTTACACATGACTTTGTTGTCTTGATGAAGACAACTAAATAAATTGAGAAAAAAAATATGAAAATTTCACAATATTAAAGCATTAAACGATATATTTTAATGGAATGAGCCTCCACTTGTGAGCCAGTTAAACACTGAAATTGAATTCTAGACGCGAATTTCCTGCAAATAAACAGATTGAGTTGCAAAATTTGATAAAGAATGTCAGTCGGTTTGATTATATGCGTGTGTGAGAACGAGCGAAGAGATGATTGTTGCATCTAGGGATTGAAACGTAAGGTAGAATGGTTGTGGTGTGCTCGTCTCTCTGTCTCTCTGTGTGTATGTGTGACTATGAGAGAGTGCGACTTGCTTTCACATCATTGCCAATCACTGAACGAACCATGTAGTAAGGACAAAAAATAAATCCAATTGAACCTGCTACGTTTCGTCGATCAGCACTCGCAACGAAATTGAATTGCTTGATTTTATTCATGGCGCAAATTCTGATTTCACTCTTCTTTTTTTTTGCTTACAATCGATTCGTTCATTCGTTTATTATTTCGTTGTATTTTTATTCAGTTTTTCTTCTTTCTGAGTATGAAATTTTTTCTCCATTTGTTTCGAAGAGAGAAAAAAGCTGATATTTCAATCGACAAAAGAAATTGTTTGATGGAATTGTGAACTGGTTGAAGTGATGCGCAAATGTCATTCACACAATGTGATGCATATATGTGAGGCTTGACAATGTAACAGCGTCCTTTCCAATCTTGAATATTTATACGGGAGTTTGATATTACTTGTCATCGTCGTCGTCGTCGTCTTCGTTGATGACGATGTCGACGTCGTTTTTGGCAAGCCACATAACCACTTTGAATCGTATACCATTCCGAACCATGAATACAACCTGTACCATCGACATCCTTTCAAAAAATGGAAACAACGTTTCCGAAGACGACTAAATAGAACGGCGAGAGCACGCTTCGGCTGCCATACGCGATCTGAATAAGAGTATCAAGTGCGTTTGTATTATGCTCCCTTTACTCCTCTTGCCTGCTTTTCCTCTCTGCCTCTCTCGCTTACTCAGTGAAATTGTCCAGATGTGCACTACCCGACATGCGTCGAATTTTTTCTCTCTTCATAATTCATATGGTAACACACATCAATAGAACGAGAGTGTACACACTATTTGTGTGTGCACGCTCACAAACAAATCAGTCGTTCTCTCTCCGTCTTTCTCTTTCTCTCTTTCTCTCTCTCTCTTTCTCTCTCTCTTTCTCTCTCTCAGAAATCGCACCGAGAGCTCAGAATCGTACAGCAAATCGTTCTATTCCTTTTTCCGTGCCATGTAGGAAAATGCAACCAAACACGGATATTTATACAAATGCCTGAAATATTCAATGATGATTCCAAAATTAAACATCAGCAGGCCATTATACTCGGAATCAGGAAAAAAGATGGACATGACAAGAAAAACAATGAAAGATTTTTCCAAATTTTGTCCATATTTCACGCAAAAGAGTACATGCATGACAACGTCGGAAAAAAGGTCTCAACGCACCACATTGTATTGTATGGATTTTACAAAGAAATTGGAGTATGGTTGCTCCTTTTGTCGTTCCATGTTCGCCTCTTTTCCACAATATCAGAGGAGAAAAAAAATGAACGAAGGAACGAACGAGCAAAAGGAAAGAATGGTGTACGAACGGCACATTTCATTCTTGGCCTGATACATAGTTTGTGTGCGATTACATGAACACGGCGCTCATTCCTCTAGCCGCAAGCGTATCGTACTGTGAACACAAGTGACGAGAGAGCCCAAGTGAACTGACGTGCGAGAGAGGGAAAGAGAGCATTGCTACTGATAAAGTACAATCGTTATTTACAATTGTCGCGCACGCTAATTCTCCCCGGTTTTATGGCGTGGTTGCTATGTTTTCTCCAGTTGCTCGTTGTATGTTTTATTTTTTTTCTCTTCGCTTTGTCGTTGTCGTTGTTGCTGTTGCCTCTGCGTCCCGATACTTGTCCTCTTCTCGTTCAGAACATTCGTTCGTTCATTCGTTCTGATTTCGTTCCATTCCATTCGACAAATATCCATTAGGTGTATTCACAATTGTGTACGCTTGGTCTCAAATGTGCAATACATTCTCGTAGCCCCGTATGCGCGATATGCGTGTAACTGTGTGTATATGGTTGACATGAACTCGGTGCTCGAATGCGATGAATGTATTGAACGAGCGCGTTGTTGTCGATGAGCTTTAGGGCGGCTCCGTCACATACTAAAATAATACATATATAGAAACATATATATGTATATCGCGATTTTTACGAAGAGCACGAAGAGAACACAGAAAAGAGAAAGAGAGAGAGAGAGAGAAGAGCACACAGAAATCCGCGTTTTTTTCTTTCATTTCGATTTAGTTTAGGTGCGATTTGTGTGCGAGGAAAAATGTCAATAAGTCGACTTCAGAATGCTTGGTGATTCCAAATAAAATACCCAAAATACACGCCAAGTGTTTATGTGATTTTCGTTAGAAGTGGTTCGTTTAAGATTTCCAACTAGCTGGAAATATAAACGAAGTGAAGCAACCAAAAAAAATTTTGGATAGAAAAGGTTGAAAAGTGATACAATTTTTCTTCTCTGAAACAAGAAACAGACGAAATGAAAAGAAAGAAGAAATTTTCAAATTGTGTTCGATTCCAATGTGTATCATTTTGAATGTGGAAATTATGCCAGCGTGCAAGTGTTTGCTTGAAATGTGAATGAGTGAATTTGATTTTTCCAAGAATTTTTCGGTTGCATAGTCGTTTTTCTTTTTGTGTGGATGTAAATGTGTGAATGACATGCATCGTGGCTTATGAATCAAACTCGAAAAATTGTCGAAAATGTTTTGCACGCATCTAAAACAATTGGATTGAAATTTAACATGAGAATCCGGTGATGAAACCACATATATATATATGCATATGTATACATACGTACGTATAGGGGAACCGTGAATGAATTGAAAACCCAACACGCGCATACCAACTCTCGATTCAACAAACTGAATTTCATGAGAGCGACTGTCACACATACACCCATACGATGACACCAATATAGGCGCAAACGAGAGCGCATCACATTGTAAAAAACCACCACTATCTCTACCACCACCAATGGCAACGACAACAATCGTTCTAACATCATACTCACTCGGCCAAAGTTATCGTTCGAAATGTGGAGAGCGCCGCGTTCCCACACGAACGTTACATGGAAAAGCGTTTACTTCAACGGATTTTCCATATTTTCATTCTTCGGTTTTTCACTGCACGATTCAAATATCTCACGACGATTTTCTATTCAAATATTGTATCGCATTCAATCAGCCAAATTTTTCGACATTAATTTTCAATTGAATGCTTAAATCATTTTCTATACAACCACTATAGGTATTTATAGAGATAAAAAGCCATCCCTTGTGTGAAACAGTAGCAATTATTGCTGCGTTAAATGTGGTGCGCGTCCGGTTGTTGCCCTAAAGATTATTTTCCATGTTTGATATTGATGCATACTGGAAAAGAGAAACACCATACACATCGAAATAATATCGCACGGAAAACTGAAGTGTAGGAAGAGAACAAGAACAAGACGAAGAGCAAATCAGCAGCAGTGGCAAAAAGCAGAAGCAGCTGAAGGAGAAAAATGGATTTTTGGGTGAAAAGTGAAAACATCGCGTAGTCAAATTGTGTGCGAGAGCATTTAACAAACGTTGTTCTGTGTGACATAAAGAGAGAGAAAATATGGCGGACTATTTGTACAAATTGTTTTTCCATACAAAGTCTTCAGCCTGATGAAAAAATAGCAAGGAAAACGAAAAACAAGTGAACAAAATTATTGTGCAATTATTATTTTTTTTCGTTTCATCAGTGAAAATCGCCCACAATTTCATAAGTGAAAAGTGTTAGAGAATCGAATTGGTAAATGACGAAAAATACAACTGTAGGAAAATGAAATTGATTGGAGCAGGAGCGTTTTTCAAGTGAATGTGTGCGAACAAATGGAGAGATTGAGGCCAACAAATGTAGAAAAGCTCAAAAATGTTCTGTATTTCATTTATTTTTTTGCTTCTTCTGTTTTCAATCTCTTTTTTTCCATTTAAATTTGTCAACCCGAAAATTCCGAGCAACAAATTGAATGTTTGGTTAGTGAGTCAGTGGTTCGATTTCAAATAAAGTTCACCTTTGAAATTCGTAAAGAAAGATGTCTTTTGTTATCAATAGATAAAGCATACATATATAATTGTGTTTGTTGTGATTTAGTGTTAAAATAGTTGGATGGAAAAATGGCCAACCAAATACAGGCATTTCAACAGATAAAATACAAAAAAAAAAACGAAAATGAAAAGAAAAGAAGAAATTAAAGGGAACCATTTCATCGTTAAAACCGCAGTATGAACGAATACGAACGAGAAATGAGAGGAAAAAAAATATCCTACACGAAAAATTAATCAATTGAATATAGAACGAAAAACTGTTGTGTGAAGTGGATACATAATATCTAGCAGAGTATTGCAAAGAGAGGGAGGGAGAGAGAGTGTGTGTGTGTGTGTGTGTGTGTGTGCGAGAGTGTGTGTGGAGTGATTCAGTTGGTTGTGTGAAGGTGTATGTGTGTGTATTCATGTTTCTGTGCTTCACACGGATAGTGTAGCAGTGGAAAAAGAATATGCACACAAACAACTGGATCGCTCCCTATGTGTGTGCGTGCAAATGTGAGTGATTTCTGATTAACATATTGCCCGTCATAGAAATTTATCGATTTTTCCGCCTTTCTGTGATACTTTCATCGCGCGCGCTACCAATCCGAAAAAGTGCGCCTGTTTGCGTGTGCTTCTTGTGTTTGCGATATGTGTATGTGTACGCCCGCAAGGAAATTTCAGGCCTATATCGAAGGGATTGGTAGGTCAAAAGGAACATTTCGAGATATACCCGAAGTTCTTTGGCTTCAGATTTGCCAAAGTCACATTCATGAATCTTTTATGGGTTTTCCATACAAGATGCTATGTGCCACAGGCCGGAAAACTTATTTCGAAAACCAATTTTACATCCAATTTATTCACGTCTCACCAAGAGTTAATCGTGGCATTTTGACATCGAACCAAAATCAGATACACCCGAGGAAACTAAAAAAACAATCCTGCATATTTGCAGAGAGAGGGAGAGAGAGAGAGAGAGAGAAAGAGATTTTTCACATTTTCTGATTAACTGCCCCATCAGAAATAAATGGATATTTGGACATGAAAAAAAAATGTGAACTCTATGTCAATTACATGATATTTCTATTATTGATTAATTGTATATTCACATTCATTGCCCATTTCCAAGCGACAATTTAATTGGGCGCTAAGTTAAAGCCAATTCGTAAGAGTTGGTCACTCCAATACTGTGTTCAGCACCTTAGAATAGTGTTTGTGTTGAGCCAAAAAAAAACTTACAAAAATTCTTGAGCAAACATAAAAAAACATGAACCATATGTACTTGTACATAAGGTTGACCGTACTGACATCACCGATTTGGCAAGCGAATGAATGTCAAAATCATGACATAATTAATTCAAATGTGTGATTGCCTTCTCTTTTCCCCCTAAGTCACAAAATCACAATCGATTGGTACTGGTTGTTAAATTGAAAGCGCAGGAAAAAAGCGAGAAACACCAAGCCGTTTACCGCCTGATCTGTCGATCACAAAATGCAGTTTGACTTGGAATTGTAATTGATTATAATGAAGCGCGAGATTGTGTGCTTTTTTTCTCATGTGTTTCAAGAAAGAGAGAGAGAGAGAGGCGATCGTGTATTTTTACACTTGTTGATTAGAATTGCACGAGAAATTCATTATCAATTAGTTTTTGAAAAAATCGGTTCTAATTAGGAAAATTATAATTGGTGGGCATTGTTGACATTTGTCGAAAACAAAAGAAATAGAATGGCAAAAGACAAAGAGTCGTTCTCAATAAACACTCTTGTGTGTGTGTGTGTGTGTGTTTGTGCATATCACGCTGTCTCTATTTATTTTGTGTTTTTTTTTCTATCTTTTCTACTGATGTTGAATTGTTTAATGGGGTGTTCTCGTTGATTCAACCATCAGTGTGTGTGTGTGTTTTTCTATTAAGGGTTGGGCACTTGCACGAACATGTACGTACGTACATAGTGCTTACACAAAGTATAAAAGAGGGAAAAAAATAACAATTTCAACATATTTTCATGTGACGACAGCAAAAGTATTACAACCAAACCATTGAATAAAGTGAGAAAATTTAAATTACTCTCTAATAGTCTGTCTTCACGTTATATTTTCCATTTTACAAATGAAACATTCAACCCACCTTCCCTCCAAGTACAAATACATACATGTACACACTCACACAACACACAAATCCAATAGTACAGGCCCCTTTGTCGTTCGTTTTGAGAGCACATTTGATAAAAAGCACATATATGCAAAAGTAGAACTTTAATTTCCCCATACATAACACTCACGGCTCACTTTTTTTCCTCAAAAAAGTTAGTCTTAATCAAATCCATCATGGACTTTTTCTCTTTTTCTCTCTTACTCTGCGTTTGGTAGACATTAAGTGCGAGTTTATGAAATGAACGACAAAAATAAATCTGAATTGAACATAAACCAACAACGATGACTCATGCTACCATTCATACGCAAATGTTCGGAATACATTTCTAATTTTTTACCTATTTAATTTGAACCAATCCGCTGCACTCATCGTTTACGCTATACAATTTTTTTTTCTAATTTTTTCCATTACAACGGCAAGTGTGTAGCGTAAAGTTAAATCGTCGCTGTCTTCAACAATATTAAGGATTATGTTTGTCATGATGAAGAAAATCGATTGAATATTTGGTTTGCTGCATTTGACTCGGAATTTTGGAAGCAAATTATTTGGGACGTTGCCATATTGGTGTTTGCTTTTCATTTTGCCTTTTTTCTCTTTCGCATTCAACATCTGTTGCTTGGAAGGAAAAACAATTGATTGGTTGGTTGACTTGAATTTTTGGGTTGTTTAGTTATTTTTTTCCTCTCCTTCTTTTCCGTTGTTGTTGTTATTGTGTTATGAGAAGTAAAGAATGTGTTTGCTGTGTATGAACTTGAACATGTGAATGCACTTGGGCGCAAATGTTTCTTAATCACATTTGGTATCGACACACAATTTGTTGCATTCAGTGTGGAATGCGCGTTTTCGTAGTCAACATGTTTATAGAACAAACAACAACAACAAAAAACGCTCATCGAGACTTGGTGCTTATTCTTCTTATTCTTTTTAGGCAACAAACGCTAGATAAATAGATAATTTAATATTAGTTAATTCGATTTCTGAAACTAAACAGTGATATATACAACAATATATTAGAAAAGTAAAAAAATCAACAACAAAACGCTCAACGCTCTAATTTAAGTGAGTGAACTGTATATTTGTATGTGCTGTAGAACAGGACAAAATCCAAAATCTACATCAAGTGAGCATTCGAAATTCAATATCTATGCGTTGATAAAGAGAGAGAGAGAACGATCGATTGACGGAAAAGAACAGTGTGAGGATAGTCAATTGGAGGATAGTTGTCGGCGATTTAAACGAAAGAAAGAAATAAAAAAAACCCAACAGCAGCAGCCAACAACAACAACCAATAAAAACTCTCAACCATAAGTTGTTCCGTTATTTGTTTTTGTTTGGTTTTTCATTTTCGACTGGCATCTGTGTTCGGCCGCAATCAACGGCCGAAATTTAAAAAGTTTTCAAAACGTTTTGCGTAGAAGCGATTCGCACGATGGGCTGCGCACAGTCAGCTGAAGAGCGGGCGGCAGCAGCTCGTAGTCGTTTAATTGAACGAAATCTCAAAGAAGATGGAATTCAAGCAGCCAAAGATATTAAACTTCTGCTATTAGGTAAGTTGATTGAAAATGTCGTCATAACATTCAGACATCGCATTTTCACACCATTTCCATTTTGTTCGTCGATGCAGTTGTCATTTGAAACGTGTTCCGGCTGTCAGGCAACGTAAATTTGCTTGAATGATGAAAAAAAAAATATCAAAAACTCTATTTCGAAATACATCGAGGGCGACATGAAAGAGGAACATAAAATAACATACGCGCAAAATAGCGTAGTGACGTCTTTAATCAAATCATCATTTGTATATTATTTCCGAACTAGTTAATTTCCTTGGACCAAAGAACGAATGAACGAACGATCGAAACTAAATTGTTTTTTTTTCGATGTGTATGACCTCTCTGTAGCAATGCTTGTATTTTGTTATTCAGTTCACCAAACGAACTGGAAATTCGAAAAATACATTCGACCGAAAATGCGATTTAAACATTCCAGCTGGCTGAAAATCAGAACGTTCGAGCATTAGCGATTGGGTTGGGAAATGTTACTTTTTTTTGCTCGTTTCTCAATACTGTGCACAGCCGAGCACACACACTTTTGTTTACATACTTAATCTAAAAATAATTAGTTAGACGCAATGGCTTTTGCGCCTATTTAATCAATTGTAGCTTGATGATCTCTCTGCTGTGTGTATGTGAATTTCTCACTAAATGCCGCTCTTTAAAAACATCATCGAGCAAATATACATGTAATCATGATCATGGGGCAACCGAAACCGGGACTCTCATCGACTCAATACCGTCTCAGAAGTCTCACGTCGGGCGGCCTGTAAACGGCAGTCACACCAGCACTCAATTCAAAAGCATTGAAATAAATACCGACTCCCGATGAAATAATTTACAAAGAACAAATGAACAGAATGAAATTGTTTATTTCATTCACTCAGTTAATGCGTGCAACTAGAACGCGCGCGCGCGCCATCACCGCCACCGACACTGCCACCATTGAATAGTTCAATCGGAGAAGTCGATTAATTGGACCTCTAATCGAATTGCCATGTGCACGTGTGTGCGACGACCGTTTCGTTTTAATTGCTCTATTTTCTACACTGAGCATCGTTTGAAATTGTGTCGTCTCTTCGTTATAATCATCATCGGTTTGAAATGCATGTCTCAATTAGTTGGAATGATGAGAATTAGTTGGGTTTTCATTGTCACTGTGTCTGAATCACAAAACCGTTGTCCAGATCGATGTTTTTTTTTTCTCTCCCTTTATCAAACTATATACATGACGAAAAACAAGAAATTTTTTTGTTTAACAAAGAGCGAACGAGAGAGATTTGCAGATCATAAAAACCATTTGCAAAAGCACTGGCCGAATCGTTGAGCACATGAAAATGACTCGATTACTTGAACTTTGTGTGTAACTCTGTCAAAGTGCATGCACAAAGAATAAAAGTAAAAATAATAATGGAATGAAAACCAATTCGGAACATAACGCACTTCAAACACGATGTATACGAGCTATGCTCCAATGTTCCAATGTATTTATGGATTTATTTTGTGTTTTGTTTTTTTTCTGCTGTTCACTTTTGCTTCTGTCTCTGTTGCTGCTACTGCTACTGCTACTGCTGCTCATGAAGTACATGGCAGTTTGTGTAAATCTCATTCAAATGGGTCAAATAATAAAAATTGTGTTTTATAGTCATTGCATCTCGTTTGGACCCGCGCGCGTCAAATCGCTTGCTCGCTCTCTGTCTCCTTCTTGCCATCGTCATTGTCGTCGTTGTTGTTGTTGTTGTCGTGAATCTATGTTCGAAATATGCACAATAACTGTTTCCCTTCCAATGTTCTTTCGTTTCATCCACTTACGTACACACGTTTTCTGCTTGATTTGAACAAATGCAAGCATTTTGTCCAGGATTTTTATGATGCGATGTTGTATGGCGTGTGTGTGCGATACATTCACTCTGAATGTGACATTGGATATGGGCGTAAAGTGTATGCGTGTTATGTGTATGTGTTTGCACCATAAAAGTTTGCCAAAAGCATGTCACATATTACGAATCAAAAGAATGGTACTTACAGCCATACGTATGTATTCGCAAACACAGACGTGTGTGCGCACACACACACATGCTGGCATGCTCCTTTTCAAACCTATACGCGCGCGACACCACCGAATTGAATCGCCAAAGTGCAAGAGCAAGAGAAATGTAGAGCGGGCACAAGATATACACACGGAGAGAGAGAGAACGAAGCAAGAAAGTAAAATCGAGTGAGGCAAAAGGATTAGATTCCATTATATTGTGCGATATAGCGTTTTATGTATCGTGCATTATACTGTTAATGTCGCACAGTTTTCGCTGGTATATATCAATTGTCTCACATCTAGCCTGGATGGCTTTTCCATCTCGTTTCCATTGTGGCGTTTCTGCTGAAATAGTTGAGCTTTCGCCGATGTTTAGTGCTATGTTAAATTTTAGTTATATCTTAAGTTCTCATTTCGCTATGCTCGATCAAGATGTTGGCATCACCAACACCACCACCACCACCACCGCCACCACCACCACAACCAAAACACCAACGACAACTATAACAACAACAACAACAAAAAGCACATCATTCAGCTCATTCTCTCTTTTTCATCATCATCTTCGTCTTCTTCACAAACGAAGGGTCTTCTTCTTAGTTTCCGAACCAAATTTAATTTGAAATAAAGTTTCCTTCGTTGAATCCATACAAAAAATTTAAATTGAGAATAAAGCATAGAATTGACTTAATGAGATTTCTTGTGGTTCGCTCGCCGAATCTAATTGGCACACTTTTGGTAATCTGTGTGTTCAGTTGGGTATTTTGAAATGTACAACAATCATACACAAATATACGAATGCAATGGCCAAAAATGCCAAATTCTCTGTCTATTTTTGCATAACAAAGTGCAATGAGAATTAAGCAAAGTATTTCATGAATGCAAAATAAATGATTGTAAACCAAGGAAGATGGATAAAAAGGAGTGCAAAGACGGATAGAATAAGGAAAATGCCATTCAGAAAATGAATATAAATTTTTGTTTGCGGCAATGCTAAATGAGATTGCATTATACCCATTGTCACTTACGAAAAAGCGTTGCTTCTCTACGTTTGCAACGGAACTGAGTGTGCGACACATTAACCCCATTAACTAGGATAACGATGGAAACGGAAATTTTCTATTGTCTGAAATAATCGACACATTGAAGAGCCCAACGACAAATTGCCAGTACGACGATAATAGATGTGACGGCGAATCCACGAATCGATAAAAATATATTTTTTATACAGACAGAGAAAAAAGGAACCAATTTTAATGCAGAGGTCGGCTCTGCTACATTTTAACACGTTTCAAATGTTCATTAGCAATACTTCCACGACATTCACCCGTGTGCAAATAAAATGACTAACAGTCACTCAGTTGTATGTAGTGATATATAGTACAACTAAAACTGGCTAAGTTGATTGGAATCATGCGTTTGGTATGGAGATAATCACGTTTAGTTATTCTTTCAGTCAGTCGACTAATTTGGGACATTTTGACTAAGAGTGTTTTGTGATTAAAGTTAACTGCAGTTGCTTATTTTGTTCGAGACAATCACTTCTAGTCAGTCAAACAGTCGCTGAATGCCCCAAATTAATCGACTAACCATTAGCGACTAGTCAGTTAAAAAATTTCCACACAGGCAGCGAAGAACAAATCAAACTGCGTTCAAATAAATGGTTCAGACTATCACGAAAAGGTTTCTTTACATTTTGAGGTTTACCTTTTATCACTTTGCACAACTTTTCGAACGATTTTATTTGATGTAACTATTGAAATGAGCAATCCGTGCGATCGAATTTGGGGCAATTGAATTCCGAAATGATAACTTTCTATTCCATTCTTTAATGTTAAGACCAAAATTGTTGGACACCCAAAAAGATAACAGAATTGAAATTAATACTTTACCATTTTTTTTTCTAATGAAAACAGGTGCAGGAGAATCCGGCAAAAGTACAATCGTTAAGCAAATGAAGTAAGTTTATGGAGCAACAATCTATTTTATGTTTTCACTTTAGTTTTGCTGTTAACAATGTTGTTAATTCAATCAGTGTTCTTTTTTTTCCTCTATTTCGATTTATTCCGATGTAATGCCGTGTATTTTACAAAGTTGATAACAAAAATCCATTTGTGTTTGTTCCATTTCAGAATTATTCACGAAAGTGGCTTCACATCTGAAGACTTTAAACAATATCGACCCGTGGTTTATAGCAACACAATACAATCACTAGTTGCAATTTTAAGAGCCATGCCTAATCTAAGTATCCAATACGGCAACAATGAAAGAGAGGTAAGATTCCACACCGTTTATGTGTATCGTCATTTCAGCAAAAATTCCGAGCATGTGAAAGAAAAGAAGTGCGCTGGTTTGCGCGCAGCCAACGCATTAAACCGATGAATAAATGGAATTAAAAGCTGAATGATATCTGCTTAGAGTGTGTGAGGGAGCGCGCGCGCACACACGAGTGTTATTGTTGGGTTTTCTGACTTTTTTGCGATAGCAACATTATAATGAGGTGGTATTTTTATTCAAACCGTACAATTAAATGTGCATGTTTTCCACCAAGATTTACACGTTGAACATTGCCATAAATAAGAACCCATAAACGTGTCGTCAAGAGATTACTTTCTTCAATTCGCATTAAACTCGTTAGAACTCGAGGTATAATAGGTGCCAACTAAGAATGGATCCGCATTTTTTTACCTCCGCCTTGCTGTTGCTGCTTTGAACTGTGTTTGGCACAAAAACGCTTCTCTTCTTTTGATTTTCAATGGTATAATGGCACAGCTCTCGATATTCATACCTGTAAAGTGCATTTGTGCTCTTCTCTCAAACTCTTGCGCACTCGATAATTGTTCGTCGAGCAGAGCGAGCACATTTCCATAACGGTGAACATTGAACACACGGCAAATGCGCGGACCATTGAAGCAGCATATATATATATATATTTCACATTTTGCAAGACGCACATATACATATGCTTGCCAATGAGTTTAATGTATGGCCTGGATGTAATGACAAAGCAAAATTTCGCTTATTTTCTAATTTTTCCGCATACCAGTTACGGTCATTATGCCGTATTTCCCAGGCTTCAACGATATAACGAATTCGGCATAATTTAGCACGCGTATATATACACACACACACACACACACACACACACACACACACACACACACAATAATGTTTGGCCTCAGTCTGGTTCGAAACGAAACAGCAGCATAAATGCGTTATATCCATGAATTCTTTGAACTCGAGCACTTCATGCTTTTTGCACACGAAGGGAGAGAGAGACAGAGAGAGACATTTTTTTCTTGTTTTACTCAATGATCGTGTTTTTGCACGCCAAATTGTAACAACCACTGCAAATTGTTCAAAAGATGCAAACGATGCGGAGTTTGAACAATGCAAAAAGAGAGATATGAAAATTTATGCGCATAACCTTTTGACAACAGCACACAGCACATCCTCCAGAGTAATGCGGGTCATTTCGCGATTATTAGTATAATAATCTCAAAGTCTAGCCAAAATGTGTGCGATGCATTTTTGCGCTCATCCTCGGCACTCATGAGAATATGAGCATATAAATAAGCGGCTCATAAACACAGCTCTTCGTCTTCTTTTTTTTTTCTGTTTGTCTGCTGATTTGAATGAACATTTTTTGGCTAATTTTTGGCTACTGCGCCATTCCCTTCATTTTACCATATACACATTCCAAACTGCATTCGGACATATGATTTATACAATTCTGTTTTTCATTTCGTTTTCGTTTTTTTTTCTATTCTTCCTTCATTCTCTCTCTACAGAGCGATGCTAAAATGGTATTTGATGTATGTCAGCGAATGCATGACACAGAACCATTTTCCGAGGATCTACTCGCGGCAATGAAACGACTGTGGCAGGATTCTGGTGTTCAAGAATGCTTCTCACGAAGCAACGAATATCAACTTAATGATTCCGCTAAATAGTGAGTATACCAAAAATGTTTTTTTGATTTTCCATTCTCTTCGTAGTCTTTATCTTTTATTAAAATTTAAATATAATACAAAGAAATTTTCATATTTTTATATATACACAAGAGAGTACAACATACATTTCGAATTAGTTCTATTATCGGTAATATTTTCTAAAAACACAAATTGGTATGCATGGTAATTATTGTTGATTAAAAGCTAAATGGTTGTGGTTGCGGTTTATGATAAACCCTTGCTGCATTCAAATCTATATTCCAAAAATTTCGGGTGAATTCACGTTCATTGCGACGGCTAATGCTATCCCATACTTCATATTTCATTTTAGCATTGATGAAATGTTATGAACGACGATTTCTGGTAATTTTATACACCTCCACCGCACATACTGGTCCATCCAAATCGATTTCAATTAAACAACCGTATGAATAGAGTGTTTGGTAGAAAATTGGTCATATGATCTGGTCCAAAATATTGTGTGGAATGCATTCGAAATAAATGACGTGATTTATTGGCTTCATTTCTGACATTTTATGGTAATTAAATATTGACACAAGCGCGCGCGCATACACTCACAGACACAACGATGGAGCAAGCAGCACACCGTCCGCTAGCTTCATTTCAACTTCATTGACGGGCAATGAACGAATCAAAAACAATAATAGCACCAAAACATAATTAGAGCATTGGAATGCCACACACACAGATATACATACAGACACATACTGCACCCGCACCGGTGCACAAACCATACATCAAAATCGCTTTAATTTTGTCGTTCAGTCAATTTAAATTTTAATGGTTGTTCCGGAATGTATGTCGGATTCACTTTGTATGTGAGCTTGCCGTAGTTGTATTCGATTTTGTATTTTCGGAAGAACTGTAAAATGCAGAGGGTGAAAGAGAAAGAATTTAGAACATTTTTGACGAATTGGTTGCTGTTTAATTCATATAAAACACTCTCCGTTAATTACCTTCGCGACTAAAATGTGCAACTCATTTTCGGCAAAACGACGGCCGATACACATGCGGCGTCCATAGCCAAATGGTAGACTAACAAATGGATGAATCTTTTGACCAGCATGCGGACAGCCTGACACATCACCTGTAGATTTTATGACATTTCATTAGCAAATGAACTCGATCACTGTGATGATGACGCTATCATAATAATTATACGTACTTAATTCACCGCGTTTAATCCATCGTTCGGGCAAAAATCGCTCTGGTTCTGGGAAGTATTCAGCGGAATTCGACACAGCCAAATGTGGAAAGATGACATGCGTCTGCACACACAGCAACCAAATTAGCAAACGAAAGAAAAGGACAAAGACCACAGTATAAAATTACATGTCAATGGCACACGCCTTATTTGATTAATTGAGTGAGGCCATCCCAAGAACTTACCCCCTTTGGTACATGATAGCCAGCAATCACGGCATCCGACTGTAAGTTTCGGCCGTTACCGATTACCACGGGATACAATCTGTAATTGGAGAGACAGAGAATATGTGATGAATGCCACCATGTAAAAGCAAAAAACCATCAAGCTGATGTAGAGTGTGTGTATGTGTCACTTGAAACCGCCAATGTACCTTAGTGTTTCTTTTATGCAAGCCCGTAAGAATGGCATTTGTTCCAAGATTTTCGTATCAACGGGTGCTCGTACGTCCGGCATTATCGATTTGAGCTCTTTGTAAAGCATTTCTTGTTTGTCGGGATTCTGACTTAACTGATAAATGGTTGAAGTGGCTGCTACTGAGGTCTGCAAAACGTGACATGCAACAATGTGTCAGAGTAAGAGATGAAGAGGGAAAGAGAAAGAGAGAGAGAGAGAGAAAAACGTGAGAAATTGAATTGCATACGGCAGCGAAGAAGAAAGATGCCCTTATTGTGTGTGAATGTCTATCTGTCTGTGTTTATGTGAAGAACGTTTGCCAAACACTTACCGTATCGACGCCAACTAAAAATAAGTCTAAAGCTAAGACGGCGGCTATCTTTGGATTTCCGGTTTTTTGCATGATGCGCTCGATAATTGACAGATTCTCCTCCTCTTTGACTGTGGTGCTATTGTTCATGTTTTCAATTGCAATGTTGATATGCTTCATGCAGAGTCTGCGTTCATTCATTAAAAGCAAATTGGTTAGTATGTGATGAAGGCACGAACGAAAAATAGATAGCATGAACGAATGAAGGAGGGAGAGAGGGAGAGAGAGAAATGAAACCACGACATTGTCAGAAAAATTCACTGCTTACTCTGTAAAACTATCTAAAGCTCCGATGTAGTTTTTATAGGCTTTGGTTTCGTAGAATCGCCAAACTGGCATCCGTAGCTCGACCTCAGCAACTGTCCAGAAAAATGTATTTATAGCATCGATAATACGTTTGGATTCCTCGTTGCCCTGTTTGCTAACACATCCGAGACGCGTATCAAGCGCCACACGGCCCACAGCTGAAATGGAAAATTTATTTCAATTTTTCTTTTCGTTCGCTTTCCATACTTTTTGCTCCCGCCAACCATTTCCGCTTTGGTTTCTTTTTTTTCCCGAAATTTCATTCAAGCTTTCATTCGCGCTCAACGGCGCTTTCCCCATTGTAATTGTTTTTGTTTTCCACTGTACGAATGTGTGCAAATTATTGAGCGAAAATCAACACTCACATTCTAACGCCCACTTGTATAATTCACTCAGGAAGTTTCCAGGCAATTCATTATTTTCATCACGCATCTCGTGTACCCTGTAAAATAAGTTTAAACGGTTTTTTTCTCGCTTAATTCGAGTTTGATCGATTTCAATTAAAGCCCATTTGTATGTTGGGGGTAGAGAGAGAGAGAGAGAGAGAGAGAGAGAGAAAGAGAGAGAGAGAGAGAGAGAGAGAGAGAGAGAGAGAGAGAGAG